CCATAACTGAGAATTGATAGAAAGCAGATTATAGTGATTGTCAAGTTGTAGCCTAAATATTCTTCATTTTTGCTACAATAGTATCCGACAAAACTATTATACTAATTTGAATTTGAAAAATAAATGTAGAGGTCACACCATAGTTGGTCATAATTACCTTATTACCCTCATTAATAATACTTATGCTCTTTTATTTATTTAAATAATTTCTTGTACGCTACTGTGCCTTATTATAAGTAAAATTATCCTCAGTATTATAGCACTTACGTCACTAATGAGAAAAAAATACATTACTTAAAATCAATGAAAAATCTGAAATACTGTCTATAGTTTACACGAGTAGTACACATTTAAATAAAACACTTTAACGGTTTAAAATGCGATATATTTGAGTTAAACTTATTTGAAAATGATTTTTAAGTTCGGCCCGACGTATCGGATGCTTTGCAGCAGCCGGAGTCACGGGAGACCGTGTCTCTAAAGTTAGTAAGTTTCATTAATATATCGCGTTGTAAACCGTTAAAGTGTTTTATTTAAATACAATAAATCTTGTTAAATTATATAAGCCTTAGCCACATAACATCTAAAGAAGATGCTCGGTTGACCTTTTTTGATTTAGACACCGAAACGTTAATTTACACACCAAGGCTTTTCCACTTGTGGACCTAACATAGTGAGCCGAACATAATTTCCACATAAGGTGTAAAAGGTTCAACGAAAGAAACGTGTTAGATCCGCTGGATCCACCGACACATGATTAATTATATAAAAAAACAATTTTAACGGTTTAAAACGCGAAATGGGTTAGTTAAACTATTTTAATTACGGTCCGACGTTTCGGATGCTTTGATGCAGCCGCGTAAACTACAGATAAATACTAATAAACAGTATACAGATTGATTATTGGTTTATTGTCGTTTCCATAGGAACGACGAGTTCGTACAAAATTAACTTACAAGATATCCTTACAAATATGAGTATGTACGTGCTGTACCTACTTTCTCTGTAGAAAGTAAGATTTGTGACATAGTTTGCTCTTGTAAATAAAAAAAATATATACACTTTGCATGAAGTCGTGGACAAACATAATAATAAAATAAAAGTAATTTCTCAGCCTTACTAAGTATGCTTTTACTTCCATTTATATTAAAGTCAAGTGCTAGTGAAAGGTACAAATTCTAAATGTGTACTAAACAATTTAGAGTTTGTTAAAACGGGCTGTTCTTACGAAAAGAGGGACAATTTTTAATTAGTATAGTGTTATAAATCCAATTTTAATCAGACTAAAATATATATCTTTTTTATAGTAGTAAACAGACTGACATGGAGGGTTCAGTACCTCACCCATATGACATCTAATCAAGATGCACTGTCGACCTGTTTTGGCTTTGGATATTAGGAAATCTACAGACTGAAACGAGATTGTACTTCATTAACGATTGTTTCGTGACCCAATATCGGTAATCGGTAATCGGTTGCAATTTCGATATTTCTGACCAGATTTTCCAAACGAAGTTCAACGTTTCAGAAACAATATAAATGTATTCTACGATCATGTTGAATGTGGAGGGGCCGAACAAACGGGGTCTCTAGATTTTTAGTCGAACATTGCTTTACAAACTTTTCAAAAGATTATGTAAGAATATCAACAGTTCTCTATTTCTACAAAATCTGGATGGTATCGAATTAACGACCCGTCGAAATGTATGAGCTCGTCAAAAGAAGTATACACTCGGTTTGCCAAAAACACACAAGATTATCCATTACACAACTTTTCAATACTTCAATCAAATAACAAATAAAACGCATTTGGTGATTAGTGGAATTCTGTGCGTTACGTGTAAAATGTGTATGCATCGTTGCTTATTTCGTAATGTGTCCGAATTCTAGAACCGTAATAACCCGTTTTCTCTGTTACGAACCCACCACTGTTACTTGCATTTTCGTGCTAAAAATTGTTTTTTCGTGCGTTGCTTAATTATTCGTTTTCTTGTCAAACCGGTAATTGCTACTTATATAGGCGTATGTGTAACTGCGTATATTTTATAGACAATAGTATTTATGAGTTTGTTAGTTGAGACGTTTGAAATAATTATATTGACTTATTTTCTTGCGCTGGCGCAGTGAATTTTGAGACTGAGACTAAAGACCGAATCGGGTTTAACTCTAGCATATTTGCGAGTAGAGACGACCGTCGTAAAAGTTATTTTATTTTGGGGTTTTATTAGTCCAAAGTAAATGAAATATATACTATAGTTCCGTGTTGTTTACCAACGGTGTAAATTGGATGTCTTAAAGATAATACTCAATTTTGAATATAAATGGCCATCTGTTTAATAACATGAACGAGATTATATTATTTATGAGAAGTTAATTCACAGGTGGTAGGCCGCAGTAGGCATAATATTCACGTAATACTTTCTTTTCGGCCATCGTAAATAATAACGAAAAACTCTCACTGTCTTGGCGTAACCGGTAAGATGTGGCCGTACTTTATAATGCATTCGTCACAAATTTTATGAAAAGGCTAGTTCTTATGTAAATATCTTTGAGAATAATAAATAAATAAAAAAACATATAACTAAAATAAAATCAAATTGATAGATTTAATTAAAATTAAATCACAATTTTTATTTTCGTGTCAGTACATTTGGTACGGCTAAACCCTGAAACGGCTGGACTCATTTGGACGGAAAATTGAGAAAGTATGCAGTTCCCTAAAAATTCCGGGGTTAGAAATAGTAGACATTTATATGTACGAAGTTTACCTATAAATGTTAATTATTTATGTGCAAAATGTAATTAGAAATGTTTTTTGTAAATAGAATGTAAATTTAAATAGAAACGTGTTTTGTTTTTCTTTTTACATGTAAAAAGAAAAAGAAAACACGTTTGTTGTTTTGGATTTTGCTTGATGTAAAATTTTATGTTGTCTACCACGATTTAGAGCGCCTGGTACTAAAATTATCAAGTACGGAACCCTAAAACGTCCGGTAGGTTGTAAATTACTTGGAATGCCTTTGTGTGTGCAAAATAATGACGAATGACGCTATTTTGTAGGTCAGCGCAGACAGAGTTACACGAGGGCAGCGACCTCTATTGTGTCACAGATCTGGGGCCTAATTCTGGTATTTACACTTGCCTCAAATTCCTCTCATTCGGTATTCTACTAATCGTATTGGTTAGACATTGTCGCAACGTCTTAAGTCTGTTTGACAGATGGTCAACGTTTAGTAGTAGTAGTAGTTCCGATATTCGTTAACGGTGGCCTCCCACCAGTTAGTCGATAGCTTCTCACTCTCCGTGAGTTTCCAGAATAACGGCACCAGCGGCGTATGATTGTGACCGTGACCACGTAAAATAATACATCACGATAATGAAATTTAATTACTGTTATATAATAGCTTAATTAGTGAAACGAGAGGATTTCTTTCAATTATAATATGACTTATAAATATTTATATTTGTTTATTATAATGCGCGAGAGCTTACCTAAGACACGATAACGTACCTATTGATTCTAGTTGATGCGTCATTCAATTAGAAAAGTAGATTTTTTTAGATAAATAAAACACTTTAACGGTTTAAAACGTGATATATATTAGCTAAACTTATTTCAAATTTATGTTCCCCCGTGACCACAGTCTGCAAAGCATCCGAAACCTTGGGCTGTAGTTAACTAATATATACCGCGTTTTAAACCGTTAGTCTTTTATTTATCTAGAAAAAATCAGCTTTCCTAATTGAATTATTTAAAAGTGTACTCACGTTAACTACAGGCAGAATTTTTCTATTTAAGTTTAGATAAAAAAATAATGCATAAGTTTTGTACATATAAATTAGATCGAGGAAATTTCATCCTATTTATTGAATCCCAGTGTCATATGTTACAATTTGAAATGGTAATAAAAAGATTTTTTTTTTAATAACTTATGTGAAAAGCAATTATTATTATTTGAATATGCAATTTTTCGAACTTGACAAACTCTGTAATTAAATTGAATATAAAAAAAACACACATTAACGATTCACTATTTTTTAATAGATGTATTAATCTAATCCCTATATATTATAAAATGGATTTTAACCACCAGTCATCGAAACATATTGAGGAAAAAATTAACTTAACTTCTTCTTCGAATATAATAAAACATAATTCGTTTGGCCATTAGTCGATTTACCAATATAACACGTATAGCTATTATATGTTTTATTAAGACGAACTAAGTCATTTTTTTTCTCGAGCAACAACAGGTTAATATTTAATTTCACTTAGAAAGCGCAAGTTGCACGTGTATAAATAAATAGTATATAAAAACCAGATGTGTAAAATTGGGGCTGCTAACCAAGCCCCAAATTTTAACCAAGAGAGACTTTTATGGGCAATTTGTCAGGTTCGAATTCCGTATTTAATTTGTATACAGTTTATAAAGCTATTGTTGCCTGCCCCGTTATAAAGTGTTAAGTATGTGACGAACTACGTATGAGACGTACTAGCGGTGCCAGCGACTTCGTCCGCGAGAATCGTTATTTTGGACATCCAAATTCGTTTTTGTAATCACCTTCATCATCTTCATAAACTTAGTTACCCACGACGTCAGTTGCGTCCTTTCCCATCACTCTTGCAAGTTAATCTTAAAAGATAGACATATAGCGGTTGTTCCTGAGATTAGCGCGTTCAAACAAACAAACTCTTCAGCTTTATTATATCGGCCCGACGTTACAGATGCTATGCAGCAACCGTATTCTTCCTTTCGTATGACCACGGCTGCTGCAAAGTATCCGAAAGGTCGGGCTGTAGTTAAAATAATTTTTAAATTAAGTCTAACTAATATAAATCGCGTTTTAAACCATTAAAGTTATTATTTTGATGTGTACTTTTCGCGTAAACTACATACAGTATTTAAAATCTGTCCTTTTAACTAACTGCTGTTGGAGTTGTTTGTGTGTGTATGTATCCTAATGCTCGTATGTTTTTTCAGGCAAGTGTTCGCTAAATAATGGCGGCGACTAAATATTCACATCCGTTCTTGTGCGGTCTGAAGCCATTTCCTGAGGAGCACGACGACGAAATACAGGAGATTCGGGAATGGTAAATCTTTTTTTCTATTTAACGCAGGAGTTCTCAACATATAATTATCTCATCTCATATAAATGAAAAAAAATAAGAACATGGAAAAAATTATTGTCGCTCTAACCAATTGAGCTACCGTGTCCAGTGGGTTAGAGCAACAGCACGAAACGCTGTGTAAGCCGGTTCAAGGTATTCCTAATTATTTAATTGTAGATACAATTTCTATTTCTTCATATATAAACTTACTATTAACGTAAAGTATAAAGAAATAAGACATATATTATACTTAAGTAAGACGTGTCTAATGCCATAGGTTACCAACCTTTGACCAAAAGCTTTCTTGCCAATTGAATATTAGTTGCGTGAAATCTGCAATGTAAACTAAGTATTAAATGAGAGAGCTGATTGTTTATACTTTCTCCGAATACTTAATACTTGAACCTGTTTTGTATATTGACGTAAGGGTAATGTAATGTGAGGACGAAAAAAACTGAATCCCGGGTAAAAAATTAATTAAGCATAGACAAAAATAAATTTATTTGTAAATAAGTAATAAATTGTATAAGGCTTTCACGGCCATCGTTGAGCATATCATTTTTGTTGGGGGCGCGGCGATGATATGCTGTAAATAAGTAGTTATTAATGAGACTAAGAATCTATACTAATATATAGCTGAAGAGTTTGTTTTTTTGAACGCGCTAATCTGAGGAAGTACTGGTTCGACTTGAAAAAATATTTTTTTGTTGGTTAGAGCATTTCTCGAGGCTCTAGGCTATAAAACATCGCGCTGGGACTAATAGGAACGAAGAAACAGCGGAAAATGTGAAAAAAAACGGGAAACATTATTCATCCTTGTAGATTTTTGTTCAAAATGTATACTAGGACTAAAGTACTTACTGCATTTTGTCTGTTCTAGGATGAAGAGTCAGCCACATTTGCCGTATATATCCGACGAGTTCATAATATTATTTCTACACTCGAACTATTACAAGGTGAAGGAAACCCAAGTCACGATCGAGGGATACTTCACCTTGAGGTACAATTCGCCAGACCTCTTCACAAACCGAGACCCGTTGGCGGCAAAGAACAAAATAATTTTGGACATCACGTAAGTTAGATTTATTTAAGCATATAGTAGAACTAAGTACCTACTAACTAAACTACAAAAAATAGGGTAGGTGGGACAAATTTAGACGACAAAACTTTTATCAGTTTCACTTAAATACAATTGAAATAAAGCGTACGATTGTAAACAGTACGTACGCAATGTAAACAGTTTACAATACTTTCTGAGAGTTTGTTGAAGACAGCTCAATAATTGTAAATTTTAATATAAACAATTTTGCAAATTTTTCGTTTCTCAGGCGGAAATTGAACCCCAAAACAATGAAGAGAGATACGATATTAGAAACCAACAACCAACAAATCTGCTATTGACCGTCTTAAATAAAATAACAGATTATATTGTTGATAGCAGATGTCTGTATAACATACGAATACTAGAACAATCTATTCTCTAATAGCAAACACAACTATTTCATGTGCGGAAGTAGCTCTATAAATACGCAACATCATTATAATTATTGTATGCAAATTTAAAACGCGCACTTTGACATTTATTACAATATGCTTATTTACGTAAATCTTTAAAATTCGATCCATAGATAATTCCCTCTATTGTTATATTGCTAAGAGATATTCTACGTTTTATTACATACAAAACATTAAACTCAGAAATCTTATTAAAATCCCTCCAATGATGTTGACTCTATATCATGACGTACATTTACGTCGGGATTTGAACGAAGAAGTTATATCAAAGAATCCAGCAATGGATTACTTTTATTCACATGTTTGAGTTTAAGAAAAGACCTATACATACATATAAATATAACCTAAGCACAACATTCCTATTCTCACAACATCAACCATTTTCTATTCCACCTCCATAATAACTGATATTAAGTTGACAAGAATAGTTAGAATTTAAACGTGCAACGGAGCAAGTACGTAAAGTAATAACTTAACACAAACGGACGTCTTAATTGTGCTTATAAAGCAAATAGTTCCTTACACCATTGTTATGCCAGAATAAATCCTAAATAATTATTGAATTCAAAAGTTAATAAACTGACATATAAACTCTCTATGTTGTCTGCACTTTTAAAATGTTACTTTACCTTCAGCAATGTATGTAATGTAATCAATGGGTCACTGGTTCGATCCCCATCGGGTTCATAAAATAACATAACATAAAATTCTACGCGGACAACGTCGCTGGCACTGCTAACACAGCTTATCATAAATCACCTAAGCAATTAAAATAAAATACCTTATTCATAATAATGTCCTAGATGGTAATCAGTTTTTTATAACCTATGTATTATTTATAAGTCTAATAATAGATTGTCATTAAAACCAGTTTATTATGATGTTGTTACAAGTTTGTATTACGGCATTTTATAAGATACTAGCTAACCGGCAAATATAGCAATCTTGCTGTTTATTATTTATCACCCTTATTTAATTACGTCCTTTTTCATCCGTTTTTGTACTAGTGATTTAGTTGTTAGTAAAATTTCGCTCCTATTGCAGCCTTATGTTGTGTAAAGCCTTCCTGGATAAACGGTCCAACCTACACATAAATGATTCAAATGGAACCAGTAGTTCCTGAAATTAGAGCATTCAAACAAACAATCTCTTCAGCTTGATATATGTTGTTTTACAATGTACATTTTTTTTTCAGGCACATGGTAGCCCTCCCCACATTGACACCAGAAGGCCACCACATACTCCTCTACCGGTTGGCGGACACAGATTATAGCAAGTTAAATTTCGCAGACGCGGTGCGAGTGTTTTGCATGTTCAATGACATCAAGCTCTCTGATGATAAACTTTCAGAGGGCTACGTTGTTATTTTTGACATGAAGGGATGTAGTATTGGGCATCTGACCAGAGTTACGTTACCCGCACTAAGAGCTTTTATGCAATATATTCAAGTGAGTATTTTTTTTGTATAATCTGTGGTATTTTTGAATTAAGTTGCGACGTGCGAAGACAGAAATTATAATTTCAAAGTACCAGGAGTATATGAACTGAGTGAAGATGGATATATGTGTTTAGAGGGCGTGTGACTGACCAATCCGACACAATGACTGATAGATACAAAATATCTTTAGGAGAAAGCTCTACCTTTTTATATCTTTACTCAAAATAAAAAGCTCGTTTCTGGATTTGAGAATGGCTTAGATTAAGTACGGAAGCGTTAAAATTTGCATGTAATGGGTTTATCTAAACAATATGAAATGTTTGAAAACAATATATTTTTCACATGTTATTCACATGAAGGCACTATATAATTTAAATTTTGCTCACAATTGAGCTACAGACTCGGTAGCTCAATTGGTAGAACTTGCAAACTACATCCGTTCAAGTCCTGCGATCGAAAATTTTCATTTATTTCGATTTAAAATAAATTAAATGTTTTAAAATAAAATACTTAACGGTTAAAACGCGAAATGTATAAGTTCAATTATTTGCAATATATCGTAACTACGGCTGGACGTTTTGAATGCTTTACAGCAGACGTGGTCACGGAGGCCTGAAGATGGAGGTTGTCCATGCCAAAGTAAAAACGCCTACGACAGGGCCATTAATCACTAATCACTATCAAAAATATAATCTTTTAAACCGTTTAAAGTGCTTTATTGAAAATTATATTAAAAAAAATATAAAACTTTGTCCTCCTATTATTTCAGGTGGCGCATCCAGCACGATTGAAAAAGATCCACGTGGTACATACAGTATCGTTCATTAACCAAGTTATGTGTCTAGTCAAACCGTTAATTCAGTCGAACCTCTATAACCTCCTAAACTTCTCTTCCGACGGCCCAGCCTCAGTAGTCGATGTAGAATACTTGCCCCAAGACTACGGTGGTCCTTTACCATCTGTTCAGGAGCTTCACGATGAACAGAGGAGGAGTATGGAGACAGAATATAGGGAGTGGCTGATCGAGGCGGAAATGTTTAAAGCTGATGAAACCAAAAGAATCAAGAAACCCAGTAGGGGATTGTTCGCAACGCTCACTAGTAGCTTTAGGAGTGTGGACATTGATTGATATTTGAGGATTTTCACTCTTTGGTCCATCTTCTTTGTCTTTTACTCTATCGTCGATTGCAGATGTACTTTTTGTAAATAGCTGTAGTGGTTGTGGCAAATTTCATAGGAACAAAAGCTGATATAATCTATGTAACATAACTCAATATTTTTAAATGGAGATGAGAGGGTTTGTGTTTTAATAATATAATAAATAATATTGTTTTTAATTCTACATACATGTTAGTCTGAATACAAAGCGTATTTACCAATGAAAGCTTATAGACCATTTATTGGAAATCTGCCACGCCCAGCAACGTTGTTTATTATCATGAAATCGTATCGACATGATAATTAATCTTTATGAATGTATATATATGTATGATTGTTTAAAAGAAGCATATTTTTAATATTATCGATAAAATATTAATTTGATGGCAATATGAATAGCCAAATAGCCTTTTCTTATTGGGAACTGAAAATTGTAAAATCATTATATTTCTATATTAACTTGACGGAAAAAGACAAAACATAGCAACAAAATAAGACACGTAGTTTTGTATAACTACAATAATGTTACATTCCACTTTTCAATAATTAAATAAATATACTGTGAACATATTATTTTTATATATATATATATTCTATTTATATATTATTTTAAAAGATTAATTATTACTCTATAAAATTATTATTATTATTACACTTAATGTAAAAGTTACCATAGTATTTAGTTAAATTGATAAAATCATGTTTATTAGTAACTAATTAGTACATACATACAATTCCTAATTGACGATATGTTAAGATACACGAAAAATATTTTAGCTCGATTAAAGATCAAGTAATTGTTGTACGTATTTTTTAGGTGTTACTTGAATGTTATCCTATATTTTTTATAAGTGTATTTGGTACAGTTTTATATAAAATTATTATATCGTATATTAATATCTTTTCTTTCGCTCGAAATAATTACAATATACTGTCTATAGTTTACGCGAGTACTATACATTTAAATAAAACACTTTAACGGTTAAAACGCGATATATAAGTTTAACGAATATATCGCGTTTTAAACCGTTAAAGTGTTTTACTTAAATAATTACAATATTATAAAAGAGGTCCCGCAACGACCTGACTAACAGTGGCTAAAAAACCTGTTGCCTTACCATGATGGAAGAAGACAGACAAGCTTGTGGTTTATTTGGTGGAAGGTAAGATACCCCAGCAATAACACGTCTTAGCATGTCGCTGTCGACCTATTTTGTCTTATGCATATCTATACTTTTATATAAAGCTGAAGAGTTTGTTTGTTTGTTTGCTTGAACGCGATAATCTCAGGAACTACAGGTTCGAAAACATTAATATTTTTGCAAAACGATAAAAAATAAACTAGATATATAATTGTTTATAGAACAAGTTAAGGTTAATTTATATTTTGGGAAACCGTTTCTTACATTCATTGTGTTTCCCGAGGCATTTGCTTCAAAAACTCCTTTACAAAAAAAGTATAAAAGCCCATGATCCCCATTAAATATCTAAAAAAGTCCATACACCTATCTTTCTATCCTTGACACCTCATTTTTCAAGTCTATATGACCTATCAAGTCTCTTAATCTGCCTTTATTTTTTATTATTTCGAAGAACCTAGTACCACCTACGGGAAACTTAAAAAAAAAACGAAAAAAAATAAACTCGATATGCCACTTATAAGGTTAGTTTTTTTTTACCTTTCTTAACATGCGTTTGTCTTGAAAGAGATCGCTGTTTTGCAATAAAGCCGCCTAGTTCATAGTTAATTCATAAAACAAATCTTGTGGTTAAAAATTAAATAAATAAGAATAAATTATATTTATTCGCGCCGTGGCGTATTCAGTTGGGTTTATAGTTTCGAATCTTCAGGAGTTGATGCTAGCAACACTGATAGTATGGTTCCATTGAGTAGGCGAAGCGGTCAGGGCGGCGGCGCGCGACTGTGACGTCACACAGGGCTGTCCCTCGCGCATGCGCCCCACTATCGAGCGGCATGTGCCACTCGCAGCCGCACTCCACCCGTTCAACACTTTTTTATTTTGCTCCAGAACGTAGATCTCTAGTCCGCAGTTCGATTTCTATCTCTAAATCGGCGTCCATTCACATCGCGATTCGTTGAAAATGGGCTCGCGGTTGTGTCTCGTCCGCGAGAGGGTTGCACACCGTGGTGGGCCTTCTGACATTATGTGCTTCGTTATGTAAATGTTACGCAAGTTTGGGACTGGGTGCACCTTCAGGAGACGCACTGGGCTCATGTAACGACGTGACTCGACCGTGAGTATCGTAACTTAGTCGGAGTAAAAGTTAGTATCGATCGAAACGGATCGATATGGACTTCTGAAAATTGCGTTGGGGTTCTAATCAGACCAGGTTTTAAAAGCATTTGAGTCATGTAAAAGCTATAAGGAGATCCCTTTTGAAATCGATGGTAGAATAAAAAGAAACATTTTTATCATGTTGTGGTATCACATTCGATAACGTATCGATCTTTTGAACGTCCTATTAATGACCTACATTATATTTTACGTTCCCATATACCATCCCATCCCGTTATTCCACAAAGCGCACCAAAACTAACACTTTATCAAAAACCTATGCTAGTAGTTTGACTGTCGTTGAAGTCAAAATTGGTAACGTAGGATGGTAAACATGATTAGAGATACAAGCATTGAATTAACTGTAACAGGCAGAAGTCAAACCTGTCTATCATACTCAGTGCACAAAAACGAACGAAATGAATAAACTGAAAACTTGGTGAAAAGCTTTGGTTGATTTTAATTGGCTGCTTTCCTGAATATGTATCATAATTATTGTCGCAAAAACATCGTTTCAAACGCCCCAGTATTGAATCTCAAATCGGAGGGCTTTAAACACCACTTTGGGTTGGCGGGCTTTAACTTCTTCGTTGTTAGCCAGAACCAATGGCTTACCGTTCTTCGTATGTACGAGAGTGATAACACCTCCCACTACCAAGATCTGATAAAAAATACTTGCACTCAAACCTAAGACCTCGTGTTATGAAGTCGTGTGCACATAGAAGGCAGATTTTATTGTTAACGTATTAATCTCGTCAAGTGAGTAGGAACTTTAAAGATAACGTATACAATATGTAACGGAACAGTTGAACATACATAGTTGATTTTAGGAACTACCGTCCAAATCGTTAATTTCATTCGTACAATTACAAATTAATATGTAAACATCTACTATAATCGATACTCATTGATCGCAAGAAGAGGGATAATTTAATTTATAATGATTCCATATTAAGCATATATTAAACTGTATCATTTAATAAAAAAATTGTATGCCATTAAAGGTGATAAAATAAACTACTAAAATTACAGCGTCTTATTATTATTATTGTAGGCGTTTAAAATGGGCTGGTCGGTTTAACAGTAGCGATGTGTGGTTAATAATCAAGGGTCGCGGGTTCGATCCTCAACGAGTCCAACAGTTTATTATTTTTCTGACACGTGATGGACTTCGTCTGGAAATCTGGATTTCATTGACGGCTTGGACTTCGTCCAAAGATAGGAAAAAACGTCAAGTTTAATCGCGTTACGCTTTCAGTCTGTACATATCTGTATATCCAAAGCCAAAAATAGGTGGACGCGCATCTTCTTTAGTTGTTATATGGCTAAAGTGTTACCTACCATCAAGTGACTTAACTTGTCTATCTCTATCATAAAATTAAATATACCTTTGTACATAGTTCCTAATTTCAATTCTTATACAATGTAAGCGTATACGGATAGGCTTTTAAAAGTCGACATGGGTTTGGCCAATAAACCCGGTCATTGTACCATTGGCTGGGTGAGCATGAATCGTATAAAATATTCATGTTACAGCCGCAGCGAGTTCTACGGTTGCCAAGTACCAACAATTGTGCACCCAAACTTTGCTCCTATTTGGCACGACGAATCCTTTCGCTAAGTTATAAACGTAATATTCCGTTTCAACTCTGTGGGGCTTAAGCACACAATTGTGTGTCTGTTTCAGTCGTTTACAAGCAATCTTGAATTGTTTGGAAACGACCTTCCAATTCAGGACCATTTCGTCACGGATGTGTTACAAATGATATCTATAGATTATAAGTAGCCGGCTGTGTTTTGCTAATTCGTGTTAGAATTGAGTTTCATTAAAATAGTTTGTTATGTTAGACTTTATTTCGTGTAAGTGACGTTTCCTACTTTTCTACATAATGTATTGTGCGTATATAATAAAGTTATTGGATTATATGTCCTTATACTTGCATAATAAAATAAATTTATTCATCAAGTGTAAAAAAAATGGTATATCTGTGGGTCATCTAGTATCTTGTAGCATTCAAATCAATAGCTTTAGACCATATTTTATAACTTACAAAATATAAACTTAACTCTATATCTTAAAATATCATGTTGTAATCTGGTATGTAACAATACCCACTCATACAATGCGACGCCACGTAAATTCACGACTTTGAATTTTTTGATGATATTACGCGCGTTCTATAATAAATTAGATAATTTATAAAACATTTTTAAATCAAAATGCATTTGCCAACAATATATTTCGCGTTTTAAACTGTTTTATGGTTTTTTTTTTACCTGTTTTAAACGCGTCTCAGAAAACACCTAGACAGCTGTCAGCACTGATTATTCAAAATTATCGAATGGTGGTAGTCTTAAAAGCCAGCCAACAAATACTGGACCAGCCTGGTAACATGGTCTAAACACGCGGTCACCATTTTTCGGGGGAAGACCTGTACCCAGTCGTGGTTACTCCAACTGCAAATAAAACTCAGTCAAACATAAATCACAGATTAAAAATTAAAAAGCAGTAACAATACAGAACTTTGCGCTTTTTAAGTGAATGCATGCTTGACAATTTCTTTTGAATAGGTAAATAGTCAACCATTAGTGTCCTACTTAAAAATGCTGCAGAAACCGCCGTTACACGCTACACTGGAATTAATGCTTTTGTTCAGCTCTTTTCTTTTTGATACAGAAATATTTTAATACCCTGAAACGGTTTTGGTGCAGCCCCGTTAGGGTGATATCGTTTTGATTTCTTATAGCACTATTATTTATTAAACGGATACATGAGGACGATATTGACCACATGATACAGCAAGAACTGCAAGCAACTGTTATTCAGGCGATCTAACTTGGGAAAATAAAAACATTTGTCCTCTTATAATTTAAAATTTTGCTACTGTCTGTAATTTACGCGAGTTTTGCCCATTACCCATTGAGGAAAGGTGGCGCTAGCGTAGCAGTTCCTTTTTACTTTGACGTCAGAGACATCCTCCATCTTTATTCTCCACGTGACCACGGCTGCTGCAAAGCACCCAAACCGTTGGGGCGTACTTAAAAAAATATTTACAAGTAAGTTTAACTCAAATATATCGCGTTTTAAACCGTTAAAGAGTTTTATTCAAATTTCGTGTTAGTGTTAATACTTGTTACGTTATGAAAAGAGGGAAAATATAACATATCATTATAATTTTAATAATTTGAATCTGTGGAATTAAGCATTAAACAGACATATTACAATGTAACACGGAAAGTAGGCAATGCAGTCCCGAAAGTTAGTCTAAATTACCGAGACTGCCGTAGGCAACGTACATATTTCTTTTTCTTTAATATTAATTTTTCCTCAGATGGCTTGTTAGAGAGTCTTATTGTATTATGCAACAGAAAAAACATATTCGCGGTTTCCAATTAGAACGTGCATTTCAAATCTGAAATAGAAGTTTCGACGTCGGAAAAATGTGTGGATATTTTGTGAATATTCTCAAAACTACTCCAATTTATAGACAATGCCTCTTTCTATATTCTGTATGCAGATTCCCCCCACTTTGTATAATATGTATGTATTTTGTTTTTAAGATTCCAAGGCAAAAAAGTAGACCCGATATTGCGTTCTGTATTTCATGAATTGTGGTTGACAGTTGGAATTTGTAACGGGGTCCAATACAAAATACATTATTTTTACCATTTGTCTAAAAATCTACTGAACTTTAAGTTGTGTTTGTTTGGTCTGTTTTTGGTTTTTATGAAGAACTAGCTGTCCCCGCGACTTCGTCCGCGTAAAATAGTGACTTGGGTTAGAATTTTTAATTATTGAGGCTGTTTATTAATTTATGTAAGGGCGTATTTAAGGCAGCCAATCTATGGTAAGTGCTACTTTGCCGCAACACTCTCACCTCACATCACTCCTACTCTCTTCACTCCATTCCTACAGTCACTTCCATACACCTCCCACTCCCACTCCCATACCTCCCACTCTCACTCCTATTCCCAAAAAGCCAAAGGAGAAAGTTTCATTGTTGTATCTTCAAAAACCTCGAATTTCCATACAACTTTTCACCCCCCTTTCAACCCCTAACAACCCCCTTTTCGCAATAAACAAGCCTATGTCCTTTATCAGGGTCTAGATCATCTGTATACCAAATTTAATTCAAAGCCGTTCAGTAGTTTTGGCGTGAAAGAGTAACAGACAGACAGACAGACTTACTTCGCATTTATAATATTAGTAAGGATATATATAAATATTCGCAAATTCCCGTTTTACTATTCGGAGGAACATAGGAAATCTATATTGATTTAGCTTGTTGATAATATTCATCAGCCGAATTTGCGCTAGATTGTTATTTTTCTACGTTTTTTATCAAACTATATATATAGGCTCAGTTGATGGAAACTTCACTAGTCATAACATCGAAATAAAGTGTATTATCGACCTATTTTGCTTTTGGACATTTAATTCCACAGATTAAACTAAAACGCGCAATTACTTTGACAAAAGTTATACATAGGTTTTTAGAAAGATGTTGATCAATTTAATAGATATTAATTAACCATTAAATGTTAGAAAAATCATATCGAACCCGTCCAAACACGGTATCGTTGTTACAAATTCGTTACAAATTTACATGTTATTAATTTTATTGATGATAAAATTAATAACCAGCCAGACTTAATTATGTAATAAATAATAATATTTCTCATATATTAAAACCAGTCAACCGCTTCGGGTAGTATAACGCTTGAATAAACGACACAATGATGCAATAGGATAAAGGTTATTTCATAGTCAATTGGATAGATTAAAATTATAATAAAAGTAACTGCAAGATTACTTTTATACTTTGCTAATTCTATACTAATACGACTAGTGTAATAAAATATATAAAAAGAAACAAAATTATGCGTATATATCTTGAATTTGAAGTTTGAAGTTGACAGATTAAATGTCAGTTGTAAATATCCAATTAATTGGGGTTTCCCGCATTTTGTTATAACCTAAAAATATAAAAAGCAATTGATGTTTTGAAAAGATATACTTAAAATGTGGTTTCCTTTTTAACGGGTAAGTAATTATACATTACTGTAAGTGTAAGTTAAAATGAAATAAAGCTTTATTTACAGAGTAATTCTATTGTATATTTTAACTTCACAATTCCTACAATAAATACATATACCTATTTAAAATATAGCCTTTTCTCTTGACCCATTTGTAAATAAGTTTTACATAAAATTAAGTGTGCTTATGTGTGCCCTAAATAATGTCCATACATAAGTTAACGTAAGGAGAAAAATTAAAAAGATTATTATATATTAACACTTTTTAAATATCTTCAACTATTAACACATCTTTTTTACAATATATAAACCATAGAAAAATATATGTATAGGACAAATTTATACAGTGTAGAGTTTGGAAGAAGTACATATAAAAAAGCTTAGCACCTTCGCACCCGACTGTACAATGTAAATCGTTATCATATCTGATAGATCATATTATTCCAAAGCGGCCGTTATAACCCAGACATATAGCGTTGGCCGTTTTCCTAATTTCCCTGGCGTCGCCAAGGAGTCTGGCGTACCATATTGAATGGGCTGTGGGTGGGAACTGGGCTGTCTGGGATTGTTATTGTTCCAACGTCTGCGGTTCTAGACATTGGAACGCAGAGGCCGATTGACGCCTTAGACAGTCATCTATGAAAACAAAATATGCGGGTAATTGATTTGCCGACGATGTTAATTTGTTTCTAATTAATTTATAATTTTTCTGAAACAGGGTGAACTTCGTCTGGAAATATGGATATTAAATTCATAGGAATATCGAAACTCCGTCTGAATCAGTAAAACATTCCACAGATGAAAAAGCAGTGTTTACTAGCGTTTCGCAGTCTGTGAATTGCAGAATATCCAAAGCCAAAATAGACAGCGCACCTTATTGAGATGTTATATGGCTAGGGTATTCCACCTTCCATCAAGAGAATTGCTTGACTGTCCTAGTCTATCAAAAAAAGGAGGTTTACATCATAATTAAGATTTTCCTTTCTTTAATGCTTATATATGCTGTGCCAGCTAGCTGTGCCAGCGACATCGTCCGCGAGAATCGTTATTTTGGGCATGCAAATTCGTTTTTGTGAACCCCTTTCTTCTCTGTAAACTTAAGCTGTTACCCTCGACGTCGATGGCGTCCCTTCCCGTCGTTCTTTTTTAGATAATTAAAAAAAAGATTCATTAATGTATTACATATTTTTTGGGTATCATGAACCGTTTTTGTAACGTACGCCTCGGAAACCCATAACGATGAATAATTTTCCCAATTTTTTTTATATTTCTCGCTGTATCTTCGCTCCCATTAGTCACAATGAAATAATTTTTCAATTCAACTCGTAGTTCCTGAGATTAGCGCTTTCAAACAAACAAACTCTTCAGCTCTTTATATTAGTATAGAAATAGATTATTTTTTAATATGTAAATAATTTAAATTTTAATACATCAAATAATTTTAAAGACAGTTTGCAACAGACACACATCGCCACACCCGTCCGCGTCGTACTGTGTCACCCATCCCGCCCAATCTTAATCCTGTATATGTAACTGTAGTAAAGTCCTATTTTACAATACAGAAATTACACTATCCCATTGAAACCCTCAAGAGCCACGTTAAAATGCGTTACCGAGAGGTCGTTAACCCCGATCAGCGTGTTCTTAGCAGAACTTGGGCCATGTCAAGAGGCATTTTACGTTTCTCGAACGCTTAACATGCTGACATAAATACGATATAGGACGCACCGCTATCGGGACATTTAGAGCCTTTTAAGCTGCACCGAGCTAATATCGGTTAAGTACGTACATTTAACGGAAAAAAGTATAAATTAAATACTTCTTTGACATTTTGATTAGAGTTATAAAATACAAAACACAGTAGCTAGTAATGTTTTCTTTTTTTTTGAACTATCATTGTTATATAAAGAAACATCTCTTGTTTTTTTAAAAATACGACATGCCCTTGTTCCGCAGTACACGTAATGTACATAATATGTATACAAAAAAAAACTAGTGTTGGTTGAAATACAATTTTCTGAAAAATCTTCCATAGCCTTTAAAACTCATGGTTCTCCTGCGATAAGTTACCTCAGGAGTTGATCAGGGATTTTTTATGATAAAAGAAAAAATATATATATGAAAATATCTACCTAGTGGCTTGGGCTTCGGAAATCTGCAAACTCCAACATGTTTCAGAAAAATTATTAAGTGATTAGAAACATGTTAGTTAGTTTCGTTTAGTTAATTACAACAACGGGTATGTTTTCTGCAGAGCATGAGTGTGTACGGGATATCAGGAGGTGGCGAGTCAGACGTGATATCGCGTCGGCTGCGCGATGCCGAAAGAGCCCGCGCCGACGCAGAGCGGGCCCACGCCGATGCGCTGGCGCAGCTGCGCACAGCACAGCGCTCACCGCTCGATTCGCACAATGTCGAACAATTGCAGTCAAAAGTCGTAGGGAACTTGAGAAAAAGGTGAGAACTAGGAATATAATTATCTTTGTGCTTATTTATAAGAACACCAACATTTTAATTCTCTCCATAAATTGTTTAGTATGCCAATAACAATTACAACAGAATATGAACATAATATTAACAATATAAAGGGCTATAAGCTATCTGCACATTTTATTTAGGGGGGGAAAAAAAAAATATAAAAGGGGAAAAAAAAAAAAAGAAAAAAAAAAAAAGGGGAAAAAAAAAAAAAAAAAAAAAAAAAATTTTTTTTTTTTAAAAAAGGGGGGAAAAGGGGGGGAACCCCAACACCCCCCCCAAAATAAAAAAAAAAAATTAAATTCCCCTTTTTTTGGGGGGGTTTTTTTTTTCTACTCTATATTACCCTATATACGATATATTAGTTACTATATATCGCGTTTTAAACCGTTAAAGTGTTTTATTTAAATGCATTCACCAGCTTCATTGAAAAAATTGTTAGTTAGCTTTAAATAAATAAACAATAATACATTTTCAGGCTGCCCTAGAAACAGTAAGATGCGAAGAATTGCAGCTAGAGTTATCATCAGCGATGCGCGCAAGGGGTACGTCTACAACGGCGACGTGGTCTATGTCCGCGCAACCGGCTTCCGAAATCGAAAGGATCATGGCAAAAATTGAGCAGGACAATCGGATTCTTGCCGAACTAGAACACACTAGATCAACAACTCATGGTTTGTTATTGTGTTACCCCGCTCTTTTACAGTACTTCTCCTTTAGAAGATCTATTTTAAACATTATGTATAGACCTTAATGTACCTTTTCAATGGCACATATAACTTATCATTTAATTTTCTGTTCTAAAACGTACATGATGTATCTATATATAAAGAACAATATTTTATGGCGCGACTAGCAATGGAACTCCAAACATCACAAACTGTCATAATTGTGTGAAGTCGGGTGCACATACTAGACTAATACGGTTTTCCATGATTAAAAACTACGTAGAACTACAATAGTCTATATCTAGGATTAAATTTGATATGTTTATTTTCTTTACACAGGTATACAACAGAGCGGTTCCAATCAGGCATTAGGAGAATTCCATTCACCAACGCCATCTCCACTACCTCACTCCTACACGAGCACGGGTCATAACATTTCGCTGTGTCAGAGCAACACAATGCCAACACTTTCGTCCTTACACGCCACAGCACACTTCACTGCGCCTAGCTCCAACTCAGTAGCATATTCTATGAGCGCCCATAACCCTACTTCATACACGAACCCCGTATCAGTTTCCTACGGTCTCTCTAACCCGCATCAAGTAACATTTTCTAATCCAGTGACGGCACCGCTTGTTAATAATATTAACCAAATATCCAGCACTCTGGCGGGGCTGCAATCGAATCTGCAAAATTTATCTGGAAACGTGTCAGGCATGACATTAGGAAATACTCTGGCTGGAGCGCCGATGACCGGTACCATAGCGGGTACTGGTTTAAGCAGTTGTCTGAACACCATACCGACGAGTCTGTCCAGCGGATTGACGAGTACCCTGGCAGGCCTTCAGTCGAGTCTTACGGGAGCACTTGGCAACACACTTAGCAATTTGACTGGGGGAACGCAGATTGGAGGGCTAAACCCAAATCTAACGAACACCAATGTCTATGGAACGGGAACTGGAACTTATACAAATCCTCTTTTAACTAGTGGCTTAGGTACGAATGCTATGAATATTAAACTTAAGCCGATGGATGAAATAGATTTGGGTCTAGGTAGATATGGAACAAATAATCCCGCCATGATTCGGGCGGTGACACCGGTGACTCCTCATCAACCGTCGTGGAATTTAGGATTAGATAGTCAATATCCAGATAGACTGGCCGGTTTAGAGTCATCGTTATACCATGACCGTGGACCGAGGAATATGAGACTCTTACCGAATAACATGTTGGATATCGATGGTAAGTGCATGTTACATAAATGATAAAAAAGGTAGCGTGACTACTACTTTACGACTCTTATTTTTGTTTTAGTTCGAAATACGCATTATATGAATGGCGGCGGACCAACTGAAGCTCAAGTAGATATGTTGGATATACCGGGAAAAGGGCGGTGTTGTGTTTATATAGCTCGATTTTCATACGATCCACCAGAGTAAGAACATATCCTTTGACCTTTAAGCAGTACGCTAATAAGTTTACATCGAATTAAAATACTTAGTTTCTATTACAGTTAAACTAATCTGAAATGCTGTCTTAGAGTTATATTAAATTATCTTTACCAATTTCCTAGAATTGAAAGCGCTGAAGGTGAGCTATCAATATGTTCCGGAGATTATCTATTGGTCTGGGGTCCTCCAGATCCAAATGCAACGATGCTCGACGCTGAATTATTAGACGGTCGTCGTGGACTCGTTCCTGCAAATTTTGTTCAGAGATTAGTAGGAGATGACCTCTTAGAGTTCCATCAGGTATATGTTCTTTTCATTAGTGAAGATTATATCAGATGTATATATAGAATGTCCTAATAAATTTATATTTTTAGGCTGTAGTTGCTACTTTACGAGACGCTGATGAGACAGCAACTACGGCCGTCAGTGATTTATCTCTCAGCCGAGATGTAGCTCGTCTCAGTGAGGTGGCCGATGTTACGGATGGATCTGAAGATGACGACAACGGTAAGGTTTCCTGGTTTACATCGTGTATGCAAATGTTAGAATGTCCTCTACATCAAACCTTTATTTCAGCAATTGCTTTACAATAACTAGCAATACTAGCAGATATAGAAAATTAGTTAATATTACAAAATTACTTTCGCATTAGCTATACAATTGTATCTCTAACGATTGTGTGTTGACATAGATGAGAATAGATAAGATAATAACAATTATTAGTATACATAGCTGGATTACTTAGTGGATCCGTATAGTTAAGTTTGTCCTTTCCAATGTCCATCATACCATTGTACTGGACTCCGCTGCACGCTTCATCGCATATAACTTGCACTTCGCCTGCCTGGCTACACTTCTACACGCGATTATCCTCGGACCTGAACAGCCAAGCTGTTTTTCTCGTCGCTAGTTCCTGCTCCGCGTCAGCTAACACTCGAGCGGCAGCTGAACAAGTCGGTTCTGATCGGTTGGACCGCACCGGAAGGGGTCCAGCAAGCGAACATTGAGAGCTACCACGTCTATGTTGACGGCGTCTTGAAGACGACGGTCAAGGCTACGGAGCGCACTCGTGCTTTAGTAGAGGGCGTAGATTCAAATCGAGTAAGTTGTTTTCAGTATGTAATGCTATGTCTTTTTAAATTTAGTGAAAACCTTTTAATACCTCATCTATAGTTAAATTCTTATCAAAACTTTAAGCCACATCGAATCAGTGTTCGTTCGGTGACTGTGACCCGTCGTACGTCCCGAGACGCGGCATGCACGATGGTAATTGGCAGAGACACGGCAAATATGGGTCCCACCTGCGTCAGAGCAAGCGGGGTTACATGTTCACAAGCTGTGATATCGTGGCTGCCAGCAAATTCTAATCACCAGCACGTCGTTTGCGTGAACAACGTAGAAGTAAGTTCGATTCTGATACGGGTAATATTCCTATGATTGGCAGATACTATTGATATTATTTCTATTACAATAGGTTCGAACCGTGAAGCCGGGTGTTTACCGTCACACCATAACCGGTCTTTCACCGAGTACGCAATATCGTGTAACAGTAAGGGCAAAGCACCTGCGAGCCGGGCCTCCTTCCGGAGTACCCATTGAAGAGGCTCCCGGAGCTTACACCGATTTCAGGACTCTACCCAAAGGACTTCCCGATCCGCCGAATGAAATCATGGTAATTGTATTCGAATTGACAAATAGCATGGTTCGAGCATGCTTTTGTCGGAGTTTTTCCTCACATTCCACACTCAAACTTCCCGAATCACTACTTACAATAAGTAATTTATCGTTTTCTTAGAACTGTTCTAGAATGTTTCGAGTAATATAACTAATGTTTATTAGGTGTGTACCCGTTGTGTTGAATTGAAACGTAGGAAGTAGGATGTAATCCTAAATGTAAATACAAGGGATTCGTCTCGTTTGAAATGTTTGACAGAATAGAGGACGCACTTGATATTAGTTATTCGAAATTCACAGTGTGCGAAATTATGTCCTTACCTGATGTTATTACTCTCACAACATACACACCCCGTTCCAAGTCACAACCTCTAAGCACGAGGCACAATGGGTATCTCGAAGAAGTCGCGTCAATCGCAACCATAAATCCAGCGTCAGGAGAAATTTCTAGTGACCTTCTCACTTCTTTACTAGCTTAGCGTACCCTGTGTGATGTCGATTCCTCCCTCAATGTGGCTTATTAGTATCTTGACACACGTGTCACGAACCAATTGGCTTAAAATGTTTTGCTGGATTGTTGGTGGTGATTGGTGCGGTGTCGCAGGTGGAAGCTGGGCCGCAAGATGGTACACTGCTTGTGACGTGGCAGCCAGTGCTTCGCCCTCCCGCTTCAGGGCCCGTCACTGGATATGCTGTTTACGCGGACGGGAAGAAGGTGACCGACGTAGACTCTCCGACCGGAGATCACGCTCTCATCGATATTGGCAAACTGCTCGGCCTCAATCCCAAATGCGTCACCGTAAGTTTCTGTTTAGCTTAGTGTGGCTGTACAAGCGCTATCTAGCAATTAATACGCTTCATATTACAAACACACAATTATATAACGCACATATTGAAATTTCACTCCCGCTCTTTAGATCTGAACAGTGTTGTCAAAGGCTTGCTGTTTATTGCAGGTTCGCACAAAATCTCGCGACAGCCAGTCTAGCGACAGCGCGCCGACGCCTATCCCACCGGCCGTCCTTCGAGGTGTAGTATCAAGGGTACAGAGAGTCCCACCGGGTCAGGTGTTAAGCCAACCGGCACCACCCGGGTATCGGGCGCAACGGCCTCAAGCGTATCAACAGCAACAACAAGTTATTGAACATGACGAAAATCTTTCTGATAAGGAAATATTTCCCACGGCTAATCGCCACGACCAGCAACAGCAAGCTCAGGTGACAATCTGTTCCACTATAGAATTATTATTTTCAATAACAAATTAAAAGAAAGAGTATTACGGAATTAATAAATTTGCAATATTAAAATTTGCAGCATCACATCTATAATATTGTCTGTTTGTTAATTTGGTCAAGTTTAAATACCAGATGTCATAGAAATCTATTCAAATTAATAGCGTCTTTTGACATAAGAAGAGTTTTCATTTAAATAAAACACTTTAACAGTCTCCCCGTGACCACGGCTGCTGCAAAGCACCCGTTAAAATCATTTTCAAATAAGTTTAACTAATATATCGCGTTTTTAACCGTTAAAGTATTTTATTTAAATGTGCACTACTCGCGTAAACTATAGACAGAGTTTTCATTCCTTAAAATTCAAATATGTATAAAAAGTCGCGGGCACTAGCTACTTAGTAATTGTATTGTAATTTCATACCGAATGTTTTACGTGCTATAACTTTATCACTTCCGCCAAATTAATCTGTCACAGCTCTGTGTTTTAGTTCGCAGATCAGTGTTGTCTATACTTTGTGTGTTACAATCATTTTTGTTTCGAGTTAATGTTTTGTATGTTACATGTACTTATTTTAGCTTCTTTAATGTTGGACTCATTAATTAAAAACTGTGATAGCTATCATTGTAAATTAACTGTCATACGCTCTTTACTGACTCAACCGGCAGTTTGATTTCTCAGTTAAATATAATCAAAATTAAGTAAATCAAGGATTAAATAGATAATAACTCAAACATCAAACTGCTAGTGTTATGTCATCAGTGTTGCAAATTGCACTCTTTATTCTAATCTTCTATGATCCTGTCGCCAAATCCTGTCAACGTTAAGTAGCTCTATGCCGGTCTCACAGACCTGGGGGCAAATTTGAATCTTTGAAATTCGATTCGAAGCGCTACTTTGCATACCGAGTGCTGGTTGGTTAACGCAGCCATCGACCAATCTGAGCTTGCTATGCATCCACGTATCCGAATGGAATTCCAGAGATTCCGGAAGCTCCTTGGAACGGGCCACGCGCGTCATTGTGTATAGCTGTGCACTCGGCTCTAACCGTCCAAAATTCAATGCATACTGCTTGCGACTAGATGTAGTCTCTAGTGCTATTGGCCGATACCTAACTACGCACGACACCTACAGTACCCCTAGAACAGATAAAGAGCTTGTACTTTGTGACACAGACATCATCAAGTATTATCATACCACTTAATTAAAGTCTTTCTCCCACATAACCGTTATACACCTTTCCGTAGCCCGCGAGCGGATTCGGCACGGGCCTCCTAAAGAGTATATTCGACAAAATAACCCCTTCGGTAAGGAATTTTTACACGTTTTATTTTATTTATATCTTTTACGATTTTATTTCCTTAATATTCTTAATACACCTATTTTGTTTAGCGTTCAGCCAATTATTTGGAGTGTGTTTTAGTTATTAGTTGGTTTATGTTATATTCCACAGTGTGCCCGTTTAGCGACATATAAATATGTTATATTTTATACTGTAGACATATCGACAGATTCATAAAGTTTTCTTTGAGTATGCTTTTTAAATAAATATGGTAGAGAAACAATTTATCAGTAGCGAAGGATTAACGTTTTAGTTGATTTACACCTAATATTCCATATAAATTATGATTTACAGTATTACAATCACAACACAATAGAACAACCCATAGCTTAATTAGGTTTGAACAACAAAAATATGCTAATAAATATTTAAACTGGCTTTTCACATTGTACAGCCTACATAGAATTTTTCCAAGCTTAAAATATAATATACAACTGATATATACTGGTAACTACTAACTAATAACGATCAAGCCATGTACATTATTAAACCAGTAATCAAAACGACACGCAATACTTCAATCATGACTCATAAGTCCATACACGAACAAAAACATTCAAGCAACTCTAAAGGTAAATAATAAGGTACGCTTTGAAGAAATCGAACTGAGCAATCAGCTTCTCTCTAATGAACCGCAGCTTCACTCACTCCTTCTGCGATTTCAATGTCTTCTTTTGTTTCCATCTCTCATTCCGTCCACGCTTCGGCAACTCGCCAAGGTGTTCACGTGCATTCAGTGATACTCATTTTAATTTCGAATCGTATTTTCTAAATTCTCGATTGACCGTGTGGTAACTATCAGCAATCGGGGATACCGGCCATCGAAATCACTAAAGAGGGAGCCCAGGAGCAGATGAGCGAGGAGGAGGACTCGTCGCGGCGTCGACACCAGGTCTGCGATCTCTCCTTGCCATCGATGTGCTCTTCATGTGCTAACACTTTCACTTTGCTCTCTTCTAAGTGTGTGTCGGTTAATCACGATGTTCCACTTCTGTTGTCTGTGTGTTCCACTTCTCTCTGGTACACAACACGATCACGTCCAACACGACCCGATTACGAAGACGCGTCACTCGCAAGCCCCAGGGAACTACCGACAGAGCACGAAACACACTCATTAAAGCATGTGCGATGTGTTTGTTCAATTTCTATCCTTGCATGTTGTCTTGGCTTAGATTGTTTCTTGATGACTCCGCTCCATCCGTGTCTTCTGAATGTCGAAAGGTGATATCAAAGCAGAGCTTTATAAAATGTAAAAAGTTTGGAAAGTTTTACCGCATAAAGCTGGGAAAACACCCCGCTATGGACGATATGATTTCGAATATAAGCTGCACGCAGGCTTTCGTTGTGCATGGGAATTTCTAGTTTCGACGGAATGTATTGGGGAGAAGGTAATACTTTTAATGCTTTGTAATGCAATGGCAGGTTATATATATGGCTAAACGCTTGATGAATTGCTGATGGCTTTGTTATGGAAAATCTAACCTTATTAATGTATTGGTCCGTACGGACGTCAGCAGCAGCCGTCCCAACCTGCACAAGCGTCGCAGCAGCCTTCGGGTCAGCCGTACCCGAATACACCAGCCTTCCATGGCACGCAGCAACCCCCCTTTCAACAGGGCGCCCAGCTCCCAAGTAACCAAGCCAACCAATACCCCGGCCAACAGCAGCAGTATCAAAACCCGCCTCCCAGGAATCATCATGAACGAGGCCGTCCTCCTAATCCACATCAGGTTAATTAATTAAGGATACATTGATACTTTTATAGACGAAAATAAAAGAAATAAGATGCTCTATCCCACTTACATTCTGTGTTATGAAACGGTTCTTAACAGAGATAACTTTAAATCTATACGAAACAAATAAATATCTTAAGTCATTGAAATAAAATGTACTAAAGCTATATAGGTTTTTGAGTTGTTCGGCCGTTATGCAGAAAAGTAATATCAATGGAAGAAAGACAAGGAGTAATATTTAAATTGGTAAAATTCACTAACAAATACTTTATGATAGTTACAGCAACAAGCTCAACAAGGTCCCATGCCACCATATGGTCCCAGAGGTGGACCACCTCCAGGCCTTCGTGGACCTCCACCCGCTGGCGGCCGACCTCCTCCTCAAGGACATCCTCAATCTAAAAGAGGCCGCTATTTCATCGCCCTATTCGACTACGACCCTGCTACTATGAGTCCTAATCCTGAAAGCTGCGACGAAGAACTGCCCTTCAGCGAAGGGGATACTATAAAGGTAATATCGTAAGTTTTAAGGAATTATGAACTTTATAATGGCACTGAAAAATAAGCAGAAGAGTAAAAGAGTTTGAAAGATCACTTGATGTTTTATAGCCTAAATTCTACCTCGATACATGATCCAAACAATTGTTGAGTGGCGGAAGATTCAGCCTAAAATTGGACATGGCACGTAAAGGTTAATTAAGCTTCGACGATTTGGAGGCCTAAATTCTATTTATATACAAATTAGTATCACTAGTAGGCTGTTTTAAAACTGCTGAAAAGTCTGTTTGGTACTTCCAGATCGGGTCTCAATTTAAAGTTCACAGTTCTCACAATACAATCTGCGTTATATTAAGGAAGTAATGGTTTTTCAGGTGTGGGGTGACAAAGACGCCGACGGTTTCTACTGGGGCGAGTGTCGAGGTCGTCGGGGCTACGTACCCCATAACATGGTGGTCGAAGTATCTGAACAAGAGGCGACCGGTCAAGTCTCAGCTAAGCCCCGGGACAGATGGACAGACGCCTATGCAAACCAGCCCGTGCGTCGGATGATAGCCATGTACGATTACGACCCTCAGGAACTAAGCCCTAATGTTGACGCCGATGTAAGTTCAAATTTATTAAGTAATTAGTAGAAAAAGTGACATACATAAAATATACTAGTTAAACTTATTTAAATAAAACGCTTTAACGGCTTAAAACGCGATATATGAGTTAAACTTATTTGAAAATGATTTTAACAACGGCCCGACATTTTGGATGCTTTACACCTGCCTTAGTCACGGAGAGACTAATGATGGTCTCTTATGTCAACGTGAAAACTGCTACGCTAGCGCCATCTGTTCGTCGGAACGTCAGGCCGTATATATTTTTATTTGAACTTACAATCAATTATCAAAATATAATAATTTTTACATATATATTTCGCGTTTTATACCGTTAAAGTCTTTTAGTTAAATGTGTACGCTACACTACAGGCAGTATTTATATTTGTATATTTTGCACTTCAGGCAGAGCTGAGCTTTCAAACTGGTCAAATTATACACGTGTACGGTGAGATGGACGACGACGGCTTCTACATGGCAGAAATTGAAGGCGTCCGAGGGCTTGTGCCCAGCAATTTCTTGACCGACGCCAATGATCAGTACGCGCCGGCGGGTTCGAGCAGTCAAGGTGTATAAAATATTAACAAAAATATATATTCGCAGCATCAACAAGAGCGAGAGGATGCATACGCGATAAATCACGCAAACCTTGTCACTTAGTATATTCTTTTGAATTTTATAATTTATTATATCATAAATAATACTTCATATTTTTTTATTGTTTTAAAATTGTATTGCCGTGGAAAAAACTCTTAGCGATATAAAAAAGAACGATGAAATGTTTGAAATATTTAACCACTATAATTGTATGATGACTACAGTGCCACCTGGTGGTCGAATGGGTCCTAGCACAAGCGCTCCCGGTGGCGGTCCAGGTCGCGGCAGAGGAGCACCTCCCGGACCAGGGGCACGCGGTCCCCCACCTCCTCCGAGGGATAACGTAGCCCCACAGCAGAGGAACCACCATCGGAAAGCAGGTATCGATCCATTCCGATTCTCGTGTACTGTAGAGCCGCGAACGGCTTTTCAATATTCGCTGTTTTAGTTTATTACTCTATTTATTAGAGGAATTAATTTCTCCTTATGATTTAGGTAAGTCCGGCTGACGATCAGGGTAAATTCTGATCACTGAGAGCTTTGAGTGTTTCATGTTTGCACCTTGGACTTGCTATGTGACTAAATTCCGCCTAGCTACTTCACTCTGAAAACCTCTGTCATCTTTCCCGTACACTATCTATCGATTGCAAAAGGACTCGCTGGGCGAGTTATAATTCATTTCCTATCCCGATAAAAATTGGATTACATAATACCTAGAGAATTTTGACCTCCTCGATCCACTAAGGCTATGGTCTTCTAAAAACGAAATAGGCCACGTACTGGGTTACGCCATGTCAAGATGAATATTACAAAACCCATAAGTGGTTCTGAGATAAACCATTGACGGCAAAACCGCGAAAGACTTGTCTTTAACAAAGCAAGTCTATAAAAATACTCGCGTCAATGACTAGATATGCTGAACATGACCCTTTGGAGTTTGCAGACCACAGTCTAAACATGCTAGAGACATATCCCCACCTACTCCTTTTATACAATAATTTGATATAATTATGCGAGTCCGGTTGCAATCTACGGAGCACTAAGACTCTTGGTGTACACTATGCTGAATAACACTATCTTGGATTACACAATCACAAACGTTGTACACTGGGTACGGTATAACCGAAAATACAATGACACGACCCCTACTGACAAATCTGAAGGCGTCTCGTTTACTGCGTTCTCTATCTATAAAGGGCGTAGCCGGGATCTTGATTATGTTGTTGTGACCAGTCAATATATCTTCTCCACAAAACTTTTCTTCATTTACCAGCGACCTTTGGCTCTTGCGCGTGCCCCGCTGCGCCCTTGCGTCTATCCTGTTCAGTTTCGCCACGTCTCCTTGTTCTGTTGAGATTCGCCACAGTAGGGTAGGCCGGGAAATACACGCAACATAGATGCACAGAATCCGCGATGTGCGTGATGTGTGATCCAAGATTCCAAGATTAAGTGGTTGTCTGTGGTCACTATATGTTGTGTGTATTGTCTGTTTGCTAGATGCCTGCCCTCTTCCCCCTTCTCAGTTAGACCACAACACAAGCGCCAGTAATCCAGAACAGGCGAATTCTCAGGTAAAGATTGCCGTTTATAACGTTTGACCCACGACATTGCGATATGCAATTACGCTAGTCTCTTTATTTTCAACCACTTTCATATATTTAGATTCATTTTCACGGTTTTGTTGTTATGTTACCTTATCCGTTACAGACTCTTTCATTTACGCCCACTAGAACGGGGTTAAGCATCTCGTTCCGCGGACCGAATCATTTAAGCTATTACACATTAGCTGTCATATACAAGTCATCATACGAACCTAGAACAATTATTGACACAAGTACTTCACCTACATCTGATAACTTATCATCAATATTCACTTTGACAAACTTTCTCGAGCCTGTGAATGTGGTCCCTTTCAAGACGACTATAAGAATACTCCTAACATCATTTTAAAGATGTCTGTCTCTTAAATTTTCAAACTATAGTCGTCTGTTATAAGGAATGTTTACTATGCTTTATGTGGTTTTAAAGCATGGGCGACATGCGTTCATAATGTATAGAATATGTATTTATTATTCTTGAATTTTGTGTTATTTTCCGCTTTTGTATGTAAATGCATGTTAATATTGTATTTGAGCATGATATTTCATTTATACAATGATACTATAATTAATTGTAAAATAAGCAGAATCGAAAGTAAGTAACAAATTATTAATGTATAATTCATTGCTACCATAAAAGTCTCAAGTATTACGTATGTATTTTTATTGGGATGCTATATTTCATACTTTTAAATTTTTCAATAGCTTAGAATAGTAAGCTAATGACAAGTTTGACGATTAGTTAATCGTAGGACTAAATTGTAGGTTTTACCGCTAAACTTGTAGCATTTGAAGTCTAATGAGACCTCTTTGAAAAACATAAGAACCACTAAAAAATACTCGTACATTGGCTATTTCATATAAAATATGATATCCGGAAATATTTTATATAATATATGATAGATACGTGTCAGATCATTCATAGTTCGGTGTAGTCTAGCATTACCTTAGTCAACAATTACGAGAGCTATATAGATTCAAAATTTGTGTAAAATTGACATTTGATTAAGTATATTAAACCCAATAAATTAAGACATTAGGTCGATATTCGTAAAGCTTCTCATTAGACTTTAAATGGGTGAGTTTGGTGGGAAGGTGGTCCATAACGGCTATCCGTGTAGCAGGCGAGGGCGAAAGGCGTGTCGAGCGCTCAAGTGGCGAGCACGATCGCTCGCACGACCGCTGGTAACGCGAGCACCCCACCAGTTCAGTCGCCGGGCACCACCGCGTCACTCCAAGCGATGCCACCGGTGGGCACCACCACCGCCGTCAGCACTTCCCCGGCCCGTCGCGGCGGACCCACCGTAGTCCCGGCACCCACGGCCCAACCCTTACAGCAGGCGCAGCCGGAGCAACAGCCTCCCACCTCACAACCGAACCTCATGCAAAAATTCACCGAAATGACCGCACCAGGAGGCGACATACTCAGCAAGGGCAAGGAGCTAATCTTCATGAAATTCGGCCTCGGCGGCAAATAATGTCCAAGGAATGGCCCTCGGGGCCGTTGAGCCGTGATACGTGATACTGCTGCGTTCGCCCACCAACGGAACGCGAAGGAACGCAACGCAACCTTCTTTTCTATAGCCCGTTTATCGTTAATATTTTAATATGATGTAAATAAATGATTCAATAAACGCACAGTTTAGCGAATATTCAAATATGTTAGTACAGTCTCAACGCACGGTTGGAGTAACCCCTCAATTAGTCGTATTGTAATGTTTTCTAAATCTTCAACCTCTGCCCGTCTGTTAGATTAGATCGTAAGTATCGTTTACGAGCCTATGTGGGTATAGTGGGTCGTATCACTGAAGCCGTAGCGGATCTACGAATGTCGTAGACGGCTACGAAACGCTACACCAGACATGCATTATTCACTATACGTAAATAGGGCGTTTTGTTTAATTTCAATCCATTTTTATACTTAGGCGTGATAATATTGATCATTATCGATATTTAATTTTTTTATCGATATCCGTAGCTTAGAGGCTACGTGTCCACGTTACGTTGTCTGTCGCTAGGTGTGTACCCGTATTATAGTAATTAGATGTTTCAAATCTATATCTCTGTTCAGATGAATGAAAATTTAAATATTGTTAAATGTTATCCTCATGCAGTCCGATTCGGTGGCGTTCGATCTGCGACCGTCCTTGCAGAATTCGATTCCTGACTGTTTACGATGTTAGCTCATTACGTTTCAAATGTTTATAGTGATGTTGTAAAGTATAAGCTCAGCTTTGAGCCTCCGAGACCGCAATATTCAATAGAGTAATGAAACATACGTTTAAGGTTATGTAAGTTAAACAATATTAAAGTTCACTTCTCTCAAAATATTCTGTGATAGTAGACGTGATACCATCTTTGTCATTAATGTAAAATACAGAATCATTTTCATCTAATACATTCGGAGACAGACATTTTTCTATGGCATCTTGTTCAGACCTATCGTCAAATCTAAGTGTTAAAGAGTAAGTGTCCACTTGCAACTGAAATGTCAAATTGCTAATGAGCGTTACGTAACATTTGTGTCTGTATATTTTAGAGATAAACGAAAGAATAACCTTTCTCCACGTAATTATTACGGTCGAATAAGTACTGAATTAATCAAAAGGCTATACCCTCATCGAGCCTAAAGACTGCTTGCATGGGTTTTATTATATTAAATTGTTTTCCATCAAAGAAATCAATCACCTGTGCATTTTTACATCTGTTTGACTTCTTTGAGCCCCGCTTTTAGTGGGTATTGACATTACGTTGTATCATAAAAGTTATGTAAGTCGGAATAAGGAAAAACAATCTGACACTGAATTCTTAACAGTTAACAAATAACTATATAAGTTTCTCAAAAATCCAGTTGTCTTCATGCTTATGTATGATTTATTGTCATAACCACATTAATTATTGATGAAATATTACATATTTATATAAAAGGTGGACATGAGGAGGTGAAAATAATTTTAATTAAAATATATATAACAGGGCTGGAACCTACGGCCAACAGCGTACCGTACCACTTAATTCTTTTAAATATGAATTTCTTGCCCATACCACGTCTTACCTTGTACCTACTTACTATTTGTATATCACAATATATCATCGCTTATTAAAATACATCTTATATGTAATTTAATAAGTTGAATATCTATCGTACAAGCAATATACATAATCATTTATAAAAATCGCTTTTATAATATTACATTAATATTTACACATTTATCGCTTTACAATTGACTTCTTCCTGTAACGTCATCATCACTTTCCTCCGAAAGTCATTTTTGAACTAGATAGAATTAGTCAAGTAGTAAGTTTATTTCGATTCCTTCTTAAAAAAGAAAAAAAAATCATACAAGAATCCCATTTTTTACATTGATTTTGTAAAAAAAATATTCGTCATCCTCTTGTTTTCAATTTAATTAGATATTGCCATTATGTGAAAAATAAAGTTTTCAAATCTTACTTAGTTATTCCCTTTAACTAATACTTTGAATGACATATTAAAGTTCACTAATTGAAGTGAAAATAGCTTTTTTATGCATTAATTGTATCCATGACCTAAAGCATAATTTGGGGCCAAATCGTAGTTAGATACCCAAATCTAGTATTTTACTTGGATTGGAAAGTCTTTGAATAACCTGTTCGTTAAAACGTCGCAATAATACGAGCTTGCTATACTTAGAAGTTTTATGATTCGTCTTTACCTTACATAATATGACAATAAATCGTATATAAGTGTTTCCTAAGAGCGTTTCTATGCGTTGTTCATCTCTGGTGTTTAAAACAAGGTTGAATCGCTGAACGTCAAAAGTTTTCTATGTAAAAAATATGGTTCAAAAAACCTTTTAATATTTTGTCATAGTGGAGCTAGCAAAATGGCGGGCGTCTGTTATGTCAATTTCAAATTTGCGACACTAGTGCCATCTGTTTCGTCATAGTTAGTATTAGCAGAAACTAGCTGTGATAGAAAACTAACTTACGGTGTTTTTCCATATGTTTTATATATTTTTCGTTTTTTTTTTATACTTAATTAAACCTTGTTTTATACACCATGAACTTTATATATTCCATGTAAATACATTTGGTCAGTTTGCTTGGAATGTAGGCGAAAACGAGATGCTCATTACGAACAAGGGATACTGTTATAAGTAATATATAGCTTCGTATCTAACCAAATAAACGCGTATTTAAATCTTTTCACGTATATAAAAAATTAGCTTGCGATTCCTAGTAATTGATATAGATAATGTTTAGCAACGTTGTTTAGACCACAAACTCACGGGGAAGATAATACTTTAATAACACATTTTATTGGTCTCATGGACTATCACAGTAAATGTAAATAAACACGAGTTTTTGGCCGAAATGCTTAAATGATTCCCAAAGCCTATACTGGGAATAACATCCACTCAAATTGCTAACATACTCCTCGAAATTGGGCTCTTTGCGCCCAGTTTTATTCTTTTCCCAAAGAGAGAAGTTAATTTATAATAGATTGCTACACAGCGTCTACGTAGGATATATCTTAACTGTTTTAAAGCATCTACGATAGACTTCTTTCTCAAACTTTTTTTAAGTATTGCAAAAGACCAGTCTGCTGTAGCATATAGATAGACATTTTACAGAATACTTATTAGTTACAAAAATAATAATCACTCTTCACTATCTGTAGATACCCTCTTGATATGGTACAGTAGCGATACAGTGTGTTAGCAATTTGTGTAAACCAATAAAACAATAGAAAGTGGCGAAAACGAAATGAGTACAAAAATAAAGTTACAAATGGTGGCCTTACTATTCAAACATAACTTCTTTCAGGGAAAATGCAAAACCAATGAAAATCTGCGTACCCAAGTAATTACCCTTTTTTATTTAACCCAACATTTTAACTGTAGAGGTATTATCTCTCTCGGTAAGGTATCCCTTTAAATGTATATTAAACATGTATATAGTGAATGTTCGCTTGGTCTAAACGTTAGCTAAGCTCCAACATATCTAAATTACAGGTTTTTAGTGAGATTTAATAATTCAAACAATTCAAGAAGTCAGTTTACAATGGATTTTCTGTTTGTTGTAGTGTGAGTGATGATAGCGCTAATTGGTTTATTCCGACTGATGACTGTATTCACAAGACACTACTACAAATGTAGAAACGTCTATTAGCTGTTTTGGCCACTATTACTTAATGTATTACTTAAATACAAGAATTGTTACTAGTGAAATTGAAAAATAAAAATTTGTAGTAATCTCCATACAGTGATTAACAAAATGTTAATCAATGTCAATAAATGAGGATTTTGTCAACAACTGTCTTTAAAAGTTCTTTAACATTATATTCTTTAGTCATAAGTATCAATATTATTGACAATCTTAGGTCTCACTAAATTACCCTGAAATGTCTCTAATCTTAAATACCCAAGAACAATGTGTCTACAAATAGCATGATTTCTGTTCATTTTGATGATTAGATCCCCTTTATTAAATCAAAGATCTAGATAGCACTTTAATTTGAAACTTGTAGATACATTGTATAGTATACTGAAGAGCAAAGAATGCAAGTGTTTCAATAAACCTTAACTATAATTTCCAAGTCTTAAATAAAGAAATCAATTAACTTGCATTATTTGTTCTCAAGTGTATAAGGCGCGTTACACACTTTTAATTAAAATATAAAAAAGAGGTGATGAAAATGAAAAAAAAGAGTGTTTCTAAAATCCAACGATCACAGCGGCTACAAGCAGAACTATTGTATTTTCCGCCATTTTTTTTATTATCAACGAAAGCAATTATCGACTAAGTAAGTAAATTAGATTGACGAATAATATTCGTCAATCTAATTTTATATAATCATAATATTTTGACGAAAACGCATTACTGTTTATAAAGTCGGTGATACGAAGACAATTCTTAAGCAATAATAGAATGATTAGGCGAAATTTTGATCTTGTCTACGATTACGAAAAATATAAAACAGTTTAAAGTGTGCACTGCGCCTTATTATAGCATTACTTCTAACACCGATAAACTTGTTCACTCGTTTATATATATGTTGTTAAAAAAACTGTATTCATATCTTTGATCACGTGTACCTATGTATCGTTATTTATACGAAATATAATAATAATTGTATATTACTCGTGCATACTTGTGTGCATAATTTAAACGATGAATTGTATATTTAACTTAATGGATAAATCTTTAACAATGTACCAATGAAATATGCCGAAACAAAATAAATGATACAATTGCTTCTTTATTGTTGAAATTTTATTCTACTAATATATAAAGCTGAAGAGTATGTTTGTCTGAACGCGCTAATCTCAGGAACTCCGGGTTCAAATTGAAAAATTTTGTGTTGGGTAGATCACGTATCGAGAAAAGCTATAGGCTATAAAACTTCGCGCTGTGACTAATAGAAGCGAAGATGCAGCTGGAAGTTTGAACAAAACGGGGGAAATTTTTCATCTCTGTGGATTTCAAGTGCGTACGCTGCGAAAACGGTTTAAGATACCTAAAAAATGTGTATGCACCAATGATTCCTCTTTAAATTATCGAAAAAACGTCCGCAACGCTATATGTCTATCTTTTATGGTTAACTTGCAAGAACGACGGGAAAGGACGCGATCGACGTAGTGGCTAACAGCTTAAGTTTATAAAGATGACGGGGTTTGCAAAAACTTATTTGGATGCCCGAAATAACGTCGCTGGCACAGCTAGTATAGGATAGAGGCCCCAAGAATAAGTCTGATAGATGGATTATAACTATTTTGATTAACAACGGATGGTGACCTAATTTATTATATCATTAGGTTATCTATATTATCTTAATAAGAAAACCATTAAATATTAAATACTAGAAGACGTAAATAAATATTTCAATTTTTATACTTAACTACTACTACAGACTAAAGAAAAAAAAAACTAAACGAGAAACCGTAATGATTTCATGAATTTTTAAATTTCTTTCTAAATATTATATGTAATTTTTTTATGGGAACCAAGGACTGATATCAGTGAGTAATTTTTTTAACCTCTATGAATTTTTCATTTTTCATGATAATAATAATAAAAAGCGACTCAATTTAAAATTATTTTAATCTTACAATTCTTCGAGAACTTAGTGTGGCAGCATTTTCTTGTAATATATCAATAATTGTATGCCGGTACATCAAACCATTGATATTTAGGATCGCTTGTTCGGTCATAGGTATACTCCACGCATTTCGTATTCAGCCAACTGTCAAGAAAAATTAAATTAATCTTAATATTTACTTTACTATCTTTTACAAATAGAGAGAAATCAAAGAAAGTAATTCTTCTTATAAAACTTTGTATATATAAAATACTGTCAATAATGCGAATAGTAGTACATATTTAAATAGAACACTTTAACGTGGTCACGGCTGTTGCAAAGCATCCGAAACGTCGGGCCGAACTTAAAAATAATTTTCAAATAAGTTTAACTAATATACATCGCGTAAGCCGTTAAAGTGTTTTATTTAGGCTTTGAAATGATGACAATTTTGGACATTCGGAGAAAGTACTAATCGAATACTTTTTATCCAAAACCAAAACACCAGCGCATAAATTTGTATGCCTATCTGTCATAAAACACAGTGTACATTTAAAAAATAAGATCCATGTACGAGTATTAATAACTTATTAATATACGTACCCGCCTCGCTTTTTACAGCCTGTGACCAGGTAGTCCTCCTTGAAGCACTCCGTACCCAATAAGTCAAAGTATACTGAACCGATTTTGTTGGCGGTATTCGTATTAGCTTCATGTAAACACTGGCGAAAGTTCAGGTCGCAAATACAGGCTAACCTAAAAATAGACAATATATTTTTATTTTAAACTTAAAGAAGTTTCTCCGTATACTTGTTTATTTATTTCTTATTTTAACTTTAAAAATTCGAAATATAATGAGTTATTATAACTTATATACCGTGACCACGGTTGCTGCAACGCATTCGAAACGTGATGCCGTAGTTAAAATACATTTAAGATAAATACTGTCCATAGTTTACGCGAGTAGTACACATTTAAATAAAACACTTTAACGGTTTAAAACGCGATATATTCGTTAAACTTATTTGAAAATGATTTTTAACTTCGGCCCGACGTTTCGTATGCTTTGCAGCAGCCGTGGTCACGGGAAGACCTCCCCCCTCTTTTTAAACCGTTAAAGTGTTTTATTAAAACATTTCAGATAAGTTATCAAACCTATTTTGCGTTTGAAATCATTAATAACTACTTTTAACCCCTTTATGTTTTCTGATTCGTAGTAAGTAACAATAAATCTATTGGCATTGACCCGTTTCAGTATCCTTAACCCAGTGCATCACGATATTAAATCACGTCAACTATCAACAACAATAAAATTATAGATTAACACTTTCGTGCGACCTCCCATGGAATGATTGCTGTCTGTGCCCGCATCTCTTCTGAGTAATTGCGAATTGGATAAAAACTGTATTTCTCTTGTTTGAAACATAGCAATGTCAAGGTTGATATTTACATCCGATAATGCTAATATGGGGGAAGTGTTAGGAGATATTGATATACGAAAATATTGCAATAGATATCGATAAGTGCTTAGTTTAATTAAATAACATGTATTAGCATATTGATGAATGAAACATGTCCTTAATTTTTGTTCACCTGGCATTTATATTAGGCACTATATTATTTTTTTAGCAACCTTCTCCTTAACTTTATAAATATGTCCCAAAGTTCATGCCAGTTAATCTTAAAGGATAGACAATATACTGTCCCAGACATTTTATTAGCTTATTTAAAAAGGAATCCTTTGTTCATATTTACATTTAGATATTTTTCCTCTCCTATTGACAACAGCCACCAAATTAAAATTTAATTAAATGCCACCAACACCAAATAATTTTTAATTAGAGTTACTGGTTCCTGAGATTAGCTATTTTGAGTGAACGACTTTGATTTGATTTCGAAATCACGACCTCACTACTTACGTTAGCGATGGTCATACCATTATCAACTATGTTTCACATCTTTGGTCAACATACCGACTATAAAATGCTCTATTTGTCAAGTTGTGTTTTGATTCCCCAGCGGGTATATAATCTGCACAATTGTCGTGGTCCCTGCAGCACCTATCTGCTTCTTCTTCTGGTCCTAGGTCATCGTAGCCATCAGCTATGTTACCAGCACCACACCATTTGGTACCTAAATAAACATTTAAACGTTAAATAAAGTTAATAGTCTTAATGTTTATACTCTGTGGAATAAAAAAACGATTACTAGCAGAAAGTTAAGACTAATTGTACTTATGAAAAAATACTGATAGAGTTTCATGTATTTAAAAAATAAACAATAACTACGATATATATTATAAATAAGACTCAAACCCTCTATGTATCAAAACAATTTGGTTATGACAAATTTACTGTTGTTATAGCTAAACTTAAATTATATAGTTGATTATATATAGGTGAAGAATATATATAGTAGACTTTGGCTAAATTTATATGTTTAATCTGTGGTAGTTTTAACATCTGCTAAGAATAGCACAGTGACAGTTTATATGTACTACAGCAGAATATCTAAAAAATAAGTAAAATAAAATATACTCTATTCTCTTTAAAATTTAAAAAAATATTTAGATTCGTCAAAAAAATGTTTTTGTTTGTCTGTCGTGTGGATTCTAAGAGTGTTCAATAGAGCAACATAACGGAGAAGAACACCCAAGACTCATCCGCTTTAAACTAATACATTTTTGTAAATTTATTAAGGAGCAATTCATATAGAGGGGTCTTGTCAATAAAGAAAACTTCAGACGTTCTTTACAAACCGTATAAAATTGATTGTGCTTGTATTGTAAAGGTTTATGTATTAGGATTAGTTGTGGTTGGAGGTTGAGCCTGACGAATTTTCGATATTGTAAGGTAAATTTAAATATTAGTAATATGATTTCAGATAAATCCAATATATTTAAGAAAATACATTAAAAGATTGTTGGCATTTATTTGCAAAAGGACCGATTTGAGTAACGAATACTTACTTACGTTTATTGTACGTAAGTAAGTTTATGCTCTAGGATCTATTCTAGAATTCAAAATGTAAGTTTTACTACAAGTTCATATGGCTATCAAATATTTGCGCTTATTCAATAACATAATAATTCAATTAATTTAAAGTATTTTTCTAGATGTGTTTAATATATGTAATGATTCATACCAAAAGGGTCTAACATATACGTGGAATATATTGTTAAGCCTTAAGGGGCTAGATGGAATGTGATCATTCCTATAAAATATGTTTTACTTATCCGTTCAAGTCATACAATAATTCTAGCTTATGCTTTATATCTAATCTTATTCCTTACTTTGTATGGTTACGAGTAAAATTTATTTTTATTATAACATCTGAATTTGTGTCGAACGTATATGGGAACACTTTTTAAGTTAATATAAGATAATATTTTAAAATTTTCTGCATGTGCACAGTGCCATACATTAAGATAAATTTTAAACAAACTGTCTATACTACTGTAACATAGGTACATGCCATTTTTATAGTAGTCCACTAGTAAGTACGACTAACTTAAATACACACTGAGACAATATTATAAAGATAATTTGCCCTTATATAAGTAATTCCAAGTATTATTATTGTGACCAAATACAATAATAAAAAAGACAAAGATAAATAACGCAATTATTAATCAATTAGTAGACGCATATAATAAATCGTATATTACACTGTGTATACGTAAAATTAAATTAATATATTTTGCGTTTTAAGCCATTAAAGCGGTATATTTAAATATGTACTACTCGCGTAAACTACAGACAATGTTTGTTTTAATGTTTACTACTCGCGTAATAAACAATACTTTACTAAACATGTACCCAATTTATATAGCCATCCATAACGAATATATCTTTATTAATGGAAGATTTAATTAAGACCAACCAGAATCTAATAGTAATTCGTCACGCACCTGTTATATGCACAATTCACTTATAGTTAGAACGTCCGCCTCCTCTTAAATGATAAAAAATTATTTTACCTGGATAAATGAGAGTAATCCTAAGATCAGACACATCATTAGGGCTATATTGGCTATCAAGTCTTTTAAAATCACGTGTTAGTTTCCGTTTCAAAATTGACGTTCTTATATCGTTAATAATCCAACTTTTGGCGCTCTCGATAACAACAGCTAATATTAAAAAGAATTTCAACATTTTCTTTAATTTTACCGCGTTCAGGTGAAAATACGGAGCACTTAATTACAGCACGGTTAAATTTGTTATTGATGTTTCACTTAGTATTTATTTATATAGGAACGACAGTCAAGGCTTGCGGTGCGTTTTGTAGCGATTTCTCTAAGTTAAAGTAGATTGACAAGGATATTGTATTTAGACCCGTGAAAAGGAGAATTTTTTTTTTCAAGTCATTCACATCTCCCTTGTAAGAGAGATCGAAGTCTTGAAGTAGACTAGACCTGTCCCGAGTGTTTCATGTTTACATAATTGTAAAATGTGACGTAAAAATACAATCTAAAAATATTAGTACATTAGTTGCGGGTTTTTAAAAAACTCTAGTGTTATATATCTAATTTTGTCAAATCGTCAGGTCTAACTTTCAGTGAAACCAAACCCCAATTTGAATGAAGAGCGATAAGTCGTTCAACGCTAAATGACTATCTATATTGGTAGTAACGCCGCGGAAATATTAACAATAAGATGTACTTACACTTATTTTTAATTTATTGAAAAAAAATTGGATAATGGAACAGTATATAGCATGGTAGTTGCTTTGCTAAAAATAAAATAGAAGGGAAAATGGCGCGAACGAATCATGTGTCATTACTGTACACTTATCATTTTACTAGCTGTGCCCGCGACTTCGTCCGCGTGGAGTAGTGACTTGGGGTAGAATTTTTGATTATTTAGGCTGTTTATTAATTTATGTAAGGGCGTATTTAAGGCAGCCAATCTATGTTGTAAGTGCTACTTTCCCGCAACACTCTCACCTCACATCACTCCTACTCTAACTCCCACTCTCCTTCCTACACACACTCCCACTCGCACTCCCACTCCCACTCCTATTCCCAAAAAGCCAAAGAAGAAAGTTTCATTGTTCTAACTTCAAAAACCACGAATTCCCATACAAACTTTCATCCCCTTTTTCAACCCCTATTAAACCTTATTTGGCATTAAAAGTAGCCTCAGGCTCTTAAATATCTGTATACAAATATCATTTAAATCAGTTCAGTAGTTCGGAGTTAAAGCCGGACAGACAGACAGAGTTACTTTCGCATTTATAATATTAATATAGATTTGAAAACTTTATTATTTTTTACATGTTATATATAGCGCATGAAGGCACTATATAATTTAAGAATCGAAAATAAATTGAAAAAATGTTCGACTCGGGCAGGACTTGAACCGGCATCGTCAGCGTTCCGTGCTGTTGCTCAACGTCTCTCTCATCGTCGAATGCAAAGGTGAATGCAATATGGTGCATGTATCAAGTTAATCTTAAAAGATAGACGTATAACGTCGCGGACTTTTTTTTAGATAATTTAAAGGGGAATCATGCTTTCATATACAATTTTTAGGTATCTTAAACCGTTTTCGCAGCGTACGCATCTGAAACCTACAGAGATGAAAATTTTCCCCCGTTTTGTTCACATTTCTCGCTGTATCTTCGCTTCTATTAGCCACATCGCAATGTGTTTATAGCCTATAACCTTCCTCGATAGATTCTCTAACCAACACAAAAATAATTTTTCAATTCGAACCCGTACTGCCTGAGATTAGCGCGTTCAAACAAACAAACTAACTCTTCAGCTTTATATATTAGTATAGTTATGTATGATATTCCAATAGAAAAAAAAACAAGGAAACTCAAGTATAATATACGCAATAATGAATGTTGCCAGTATTCATCGTAGTATGACTTTAAAATATGAGTATATTGAATGAAAGAAAAATACATAAGTGTAAAAAATAAAAAAATATGTTATCTGTTTTGTAATTAGGACCCAGTTTAAGTTAATTGTAAAGTGTAGCCAAGCACACTTGGCGACTCACAAGTCGGCTTCGGGTATGAAAGATTTCTTCTCAAGAACTTTGTTATACTAAGACGTTTAAATTTAGTTATTAAAATGTGTACCACTCTCGTAAACTATAGACAGTATACTAAGACTTACTTAATTATTAGAACTTTCCATTAGAATTGTTCTTATTATTTAAAACCTCTACTTTGTTCTCATACTAACTACGAATAACCTTTCTCGGATGGCCTATGGGTGCCTTAATTTTTTGTTAACTTGAATAACTTCGCATTTAATAATAATCACTTGTCATCTCATTCAATTGTATTATAACCATTTGGGAAGGGAAACTTAAAAATCAAACCAAATTAATTATTATAACGTTTTATTATGCTCTCATGTGATCCACTTTTTTGACGTTATGTACGTTGGCAACGTTTTTCAACAAGCCACGGAACGTGAAAAATTCATCTAATAGTTCGGAACGTCGAACCATTGATATCTCGGCTCACCGTTCTCATCAAAAGTATACTTCAGACATTTACTATAAAAGAATCTGTAAAAAATCGGAATATAATATTAGATGGCGATTATGTGCGATTCGATCCCTTCCGGACCTAACATTTTTCTAATTAGAAAAATCTTAAACTTTGTTTGGAAATCTAGATATTAAATGATGTGGTAGGAATATCGGTCCGCTCACAGATGAAAAATCCGTCAAATTCCATCGCGTTTAAGTTGCAGTCTGTGGAATTCCGAGTATCCAAAGCCAAAAAGAGCGCATCTTGTTTAGACGTTGTATGTCTGTGGTAGGTTCGTTTGTTTTCGCGCGTTTCTCATACGTTGCTGGTCAAATTTTAAATTATGACACTATTGATGTTTCCGCCACTATGACGAAGCCAAGAGGAACTGTTATGACATACAATCTCATAACAGAAGGAAGGTTAAATATCGGTATTAATAACTGCAACAAACTTATGAATTTATTTATATATAATACGAGCTGTGCCCGCGACTTTGCGTGGAATAGTGACATGGGGTAGAATGTTTAATTATTTAGGCTGTTTATTAATTTATGTAAAGGTGCATTTAATAGGTTGCATTAAATGCACCTTTACATAAATTAATAAACAGCCTAAATAATTAAACATTCTACCCCATGTCACTATTCCACGCAAAGTCGCGGGCACAGCTCGTATTATATATAAATAAATTCTTTTGATTTTATCTTTGTTGTAAGTGCTACTCTGCCGCAACACTCTCACCTCACATCACTTTTACTGTAACTCCCACTCTCATTCCTACACTCACTCCCACAACCACTCCCACTCCAACTCCTATTCCCCAAAAGCCAAAGAAGACAGTTTCATGTTCTAGCTTCAAAAACCACGCATTTCCATACAAACTTGCATCCCCTTTTTCAACCCCTATCAACGCTTTTTAGCATTAAAAAGTAGCCTATGTCCTTTCTCAGGCTCTAAAATATTTGTGTACCAAAGTTCATTTAATTCAGTTCAATAGTTTCGGAGTTAAAGCGGGATGGACAGACCGACAGACAGACTGAGTTACTTCCGCATTTATAATATTAGTATTATTAATTGGAAGTTAATGAACTTGTTTATTGTCCCTACACTCACCCTTTTTGTAACTTCTCGCATCCTGTTATTGGCTTGTCTTTTTTATAACACTGCGTACCCAAATATTCAAAGTAAATTGAGCCAACATTAGCGGATGTTGTTGTATTTGCGTGGTGTAGACATTGTAAAAAGTCATCATCGCATTTACACGATAAGCTGCAAAACAACACTTGAATTATTCGACTTGCATCCAGCTTAATGTATAGAAAATTAGAGTTTTATTCAGACATAATTAGTATCCTAAAATGATCCACTTTAGTCCACTTTTCAATTTTTCGGTGATCGTAAATTACAGCAGTACGGCTTCGAATAAATTCAAACAGTATAATTAAAAATCTATTTTGGATTGAAAATATAAAGTTAATTTAAAAATCGAAAATAATATTATACGCAAGTGTTAAGGTTGAAATTACATGGCGCGAGAGGTTCATGTAGCAATAAGTTGAAAAAATTCGACCATGACGTGTAGGACTCGGTAGCTCAATTGGTAGAGCAACAGCACGGAAAGCTGACGATGCCGGTTCAAGTCCTGCCCGAGTCGTAATTTTTTTTTATTTATTTTCGATTTTTAAATTGTATAGTGCCTTCATGCGCTATATATAACATGTAAAAAATAATAAATTTTTCAAATATAAAGGTTGATTGACAGTTGATTAAATTAAATTAAATTTTGAGTTAGGTCACTCTAATACTAAGCGTGCGATCTAAACTAATTCTGGAATAAAACATTATACCGAGTGTAGGACGCGGTGTTGGTTAAGTTATGTTTTGTTTGTCCAGCGGCTATATAATCCGGACAGTTGTCGTGTTCGCGGCAACACTTGTCCGTTTCAACTTCTTTGCCGAGATCATCGTAATCCTTCGCATTGCTCCCGGATCCACACCATTTTGTTCCTAGAGAAGAAATAAAACAAACGAAATGAAATTAGGGAGTACATCAAACTCCCCCACCCCCACCAGATTTCCTGGGAAGGCTATAAAATCATGAAATCTCGCTAAACTACAATGAAAAATGATTCAAATTGTGCACTTCCATTGTGTGGACTTTTAACTTTGAGGTATTTTTGCTAAATACGCCTCAATCGTCTTCCATGCATCATGCATGCATAAATCGCATTCAATTCTTAATAACTAGACCCCAAATCATCTGCAGAGCGGGAGTGGGTCAGCTGTTTTTGTGAACTGATCAGCAGTCTTCGGTGTCTCCAATGAAATAATTATAATAGTAAAGTTACCTAGACCTGGTACATGAGTTACGTACATAGCCTTTACCCTCCCTTAATCATCGCATAGATATTACAAATTGAAAAGATTTGACAAGATTTTTGCCATCCTTTTTACACCTACCTGGAAAGATAACAGCCGCGTCCGGTGGTGGTGGTTCTAAGGAATCAGTGTCTCTTTTAAAACGAAGCAACTGGCGGTGGACGTGCTGATTTTTGTAGTCAGCTACCCAACTAGTAGCGCTGTGTAGTATGACACAGAAGAGAAGAAATTTAAACATTTTACTTTGATAAATGCTTAACGAATATCATATAATGCGGAGAAATGACTTTATATACATTCGGCTCATGTAAGTACAAATTAAAAATTGTCATATAAAAATGCGGTCCGTTTAATAGCGGGTTTTAGCCTTTCCTAAAATGCCACCCTGGCATGGAAGTGAACGAACTGAAGCACTTACCTTGCTAAAGAGTATACGCTAGTCCTACGTAGATTCCCGAACCATTTCGGGACACAAGTGACGAAATAATAAAAACGAGATGATGTCTAAGTACTTTAGAGAACTGTCAACAGGCAATAATTTAACACGCGCTGAATCTTTTTATACTACTAGTGCTTTAGGAAATAAATAATTAAAAGATGTTTATTTACGAGTATAATTTGCGGGCATCAAACATTTTGAGATTTCCACATTCAAAAAGCAAACGCTTTTACTGGCACCGTACCAATCAATTTAACTGTACCGGCACAAGGATAAGAAGGAATAATTATTTAGAACCAATTAATTACTTTTTATTATACTATCAAATAATTACTATGTTCGATAACTTTATATAATATAATATAGATTATATATATATATATATACATATATGTATTAACTTGTAAAACGTAAATACTTCTTATAATTATTTTATATCAAGGTTTTGAACTAAAGGATAAGAAGTTTTAACACATTTCTCGTGAAAGTTGTAAACATGCAACTGCTTTTTACAATTCAATTTGCATATCTATATCTATATCTATGCACCCTACGGAGGAGTAAATGGAAAAGTTTTATGTTTTAAAAGGTAATGTAGAACAGCGCGATAACATATTCTACACATTGGGCAAGGTAAAGAAAATGTTTCTAACCGAGTTGTGGTGTGGGTAACCGTTTGTGTGATGTTTGGATAACTGTTTGTAAATGCAGAAGGGAAATCTTTCTATATTTGATGATGAATGCTTGCCAAACAGAAATCGCTACAATACTGAAGCTTCGTTCATCCATTCATTTTGAATTAAATCTATTTCGACCTTATATATTCTATTATATAATAAGCAACACGTATTATAATTGAGCCACATACAAGGAAATTAGTTTTTAGCAAATGCACATTTTTTATTTAAAAAAATGCAATTATACATACTCATTATTATGTTAATATGACGCTTCTACTTAATTATTTTTCTTAATAGAAATGTTTTTCTGCCACCTTGAATTGACTTAATACCATTTAAGTATATCATCCGGTTAATTTATTAATATGCATTATCGTACTAAAATTGTTTAGCTAGTAGATTAAAATTCAGTAATAAGAACGTTATGAAAGAACCCGTCTATATCTAGGTTCGACTATGTTTCATGAGCTGAAAAGTTTGTTCGAATTGAAAAATTATTTTTGTGTTGGTTAGAACATTTATCGAACATTATCACATGCGCTGGCACAGCTAGTCTGAACTAAAATTTAAAGTATTATATTAGCCATTTGCGAAATCCAGCCACAACTAGACAGCGATTCTACAACGTTTCGCTAGACTACTGCCGTGACAGTTGACACTTATTGCATCTTGTTTAGTCTGTGGTTTAACTTTTTTATTTTTCAAAATAACATTTTAGCGGCATTTTGTAATGTTTATGAATTATAAACGTTCATGGTTTTGATGAAAGACTTAATAATGTCTCGTATGTGGAACAAAATACCTTTTAAAAGTAGCGAATTACAATTGACCGGCACTTTGAATGGTGGGCAAAGTTTCAGGTATGATTTCTTTTTTATTGAGTAGAATGTAATTATTATGCCTTAATAGTTAAGTTATTATTTTACATTGCTTAGCATCTTTTTCGATTTACGATTATTAGTGTAATTCTCTCCAGGTGGAATTTTGATATCACTGAAAAGACTTGGACGGGTATTTTCGCTAAGACAGTTTGGAAGTTACAACAAGAAAATAATTGTTTAAAGTACCAAGTACTCGGAACATTACTAGAGAAATCAAACAAGGAAACGGAAATATTTGAGATGTTATTGAAAAACTATTTTCGTCTTGATGTTGACTTGGGAAATTATTACAAGAAGTGGTCAGAGAGAGATCAATTCTTCAAGTCTGCATGTGTGCAGTTCTATGGTATTCGAATGTTGGCTCAGGAACCAGTAGAGAATTTATTTTCATTTATATGTAGTCAAAATAATCATATATCAAGGTAAGTTTTGATATTCTTTTATTTGGCTTTTTGCAGTAAAGTCATACAAGAGAAAGATGAGATGAACACAGTGGGAATTGCATTAATTAACATCCCCTGTAGATATGTATATGAATTTATAATTTATACTTTTTATAAATGGCAGACAGTTTATATCAAATTAGCTGTGCCCGCGACTTCGTCAACTTAGAATAACTTTGGATAGAAATTTTTCAATTATTTGGGCTGTTTATTTAATTATTTTATAAATTTAATAAGACACATGTGTAAATACAGTGTTCCACTGCATAGAGCTTATTAAGGTATTCATAATAAGTATATCCATGGTATAGTGTATTTTTAAAATTATGCTTCAATCAGTTTTATAGTTACTTTCGCATTTATAATAGTAGTAAGTTCTATAAAAAATAATTATGATACATCCACACAATTTTTAATACCTCATTCAACCTTTTTACTACCTTTTAATGGTACAGCAAAAGGTTTTACACTGCCAATCTGTGTTGTAAGTGCTACTTTGCCGTAACATTCCCACTCCCAACTCAAATCACTCCCATTCTCACTCATACACTCACTCCCACTCTCACTCCCATTTCCAAAAAGTTAAAGAAGAAAGTTTCATTGTTCTAGCTTCAAAAATCACGAATTTCCATACAAACTTTAATCCCCCTTTCAACCCTTAACATCCCTTTTGGCATCAAAAAGTTGCCTATGCTAGTTTAGCATATCTGTGTACCAAATTTCATTTAAATTGGTTCAGTACTTTCAAGCCGGACAGACAGTTACTTTCGCATTTATAGTATTAGTAGTGATATATGTGTACCGTATTAGTTACTTCTAATACCTAGCTCAATTCACATATACAGATACATGTATACATTTTTTTGTTTTAGAATATCGACCATGATAGAGAAACTATGTAAGCATTATGGTGAGAAAATATGTGAAGTAGACAGCGTTCCATATTATGCTTTTCCAGATGTTGAAAAGCTTTCACAACTAGAGGTAAATCTAAGCAAATGGATTATTTGTTCATGTGGATTCAAAACGTACACCACACAGCATAAGTTGGTTTGGTTATGGATGGTGCTTGTATAAGTCAATCGATTTATTGTAATAATTGTATTTACAGGTTGAATCACATCTGCGTGAACTAGGTTTTGGATACCGGGCCAAGTTTATAAAGAAATCAGCAAACCAAATAGTTCAATGGGGTGGTAAGAAATGGTTTGGCAGTTTAAAGGATATGAAATACACTGAAGCTAAGGCAGAGCTAATGAAACTGTGTGGTATTGGACCTAAGGTACATCTTTAAATTTACTATTAAATTCACTTCATAATATAGAAGCTTTTGCTCTATGATTTAAAATTTGATTAAGAGAGTCACAAATTTATGTTTAACATTGGTGCTTAGATTAAAACTCAACCGGCATCGTTAGCATTCGTGCTGTTGCTCTACCAATTGAGCAACCAAGTCCTACAGCTCAACGTCAAATATTTTCAACTTATTGATAATGCGCCTCTCGCCCAATTTCAAATCTTGTCCAAAAAATTTTTTTTTCTATTTTTAAAAATATTAAAGTTTTTAAAACCCAAACCTTTTTTTAAATATTAAAGTAAAGTTAAGCTGATAGCTATTTTTAAGACTCAGTAAAAAAACATGAATTGAAGTTTTAATGATGTATCAAAGATATTGTTTTTTTTTTAAATTCTAAATCGATTTTGAATATATACAGTGCCATCATGTGCGATAACTTTGAACTTTAATTTTATTTTTAATGAGTTTCGTAAGTTCCAAAGCATGAGACATTGAAGCTTAATAGTAATTCTTAAGGTTGAAATTACATTGTGCGAGAGATGCAAAATGCAAAAATCGTAAAATTAGACGTTGACGTATAGACAAGGTAGCTCAATTGGATAAAGCAACAGCTCGGAACGCTGTGGAAGCCGGTTCAAGCCCTGCATCTGTCAACGTGTGTTTTTACTAAAATCGATTTTTAATTCAAGATACTAGGTATTTTCATTTAATTGGTGATGGACTCCTAGAGTTGTGTCTGCTATTTTAATCATATTACAATATTACAAAAATTTCATCTTTCCTATTTAATTTTTGTAGGTTGCAGATTGCATATGTCTGATGTCCTTAAACCATTTAGAAGCGTTGCCAGTAGACACTCATGTGTATCAAATAGCAGCTCAAAACTACCTCCCACATTTGAAAGGAAAGAGAAGTGTTACTGAAAAAGTGTATAGCGAAATCGGGGACCACTTCAGAAGCTTGTATGGTGATATGGCAGGATGGGCTCATACCGTAAGATATTTATTTATTTATTCATAAGGTACACAAACAAAACAAACTATGACAATATATTAAACTATTATAATATATATAATTTCCTGCATAGGTGTCCAATATACCTATTTGGTAAAAAGATGAAGAAAAGTTTCTAGTAATGTGTTACTAAGACTAATTGTCTCCTTCTAAAGTTCTCTTGGTTATACACATCTCTGTATTTATACAAAGTGAGTGATTATTTTGTAAAAATATCTCAAATAGTAGTGAATTTTAAATGCAAACTTTAAATGTAAGTTTTAAATTCACACTGCAAAGTTCTTTTTTTTTATAGATAATTTAAATTGTTTTTATGTTTAGGTACTCTTCTGCGCTGACTTAAAGAAATTTCAACAAGCCGACAGCATCACAGTGGAACAGGGAAATCAAAGAAAGAAAAAGAAAAAATAATATTATCAGTATATTGACATTGCTTTTATTTTTCATCATACATGTTTATACAAAATAGAAATATCTGTGCGATTACCTTGGTAACTTTTTAAAGCATGTAACATAACTTTTTTTTCGTGTTTGGGTATATTTTTTTTAGTCAATAACTTTAAAAACCATTTCATATCTTTTTCAAGAAGATAATGACAATAACCTTAAATTACGTGTCTTACAATTGCTTATTGCACATATTGCTTATATCCTAAATATTTTATTTTGCTATATTTATTAGACTTGCTAGCATTTTGTGAAAGTATTTACTTGGCGTGATCCCAAGTAGTCTCTATTGGTTGATTCATCAAACGTCAGATTTTGAGCGTTTCACAGTTCGAAAGACCCAATGTATATAAATTAAAGTAATATAACATATTGAATCAAATTAAAGCTCTACACGATTTATAGCATTTTTTTACGTGTTATACAACAAACATGTCTCTAAGGTTAGACTAACTTATTTATTATGTCTTTCAAACTTATAGTGTACAATGAGATTATGCATTAAGGAGATCGTGCTCTATATAGTAAACAGTAATTTTATTTATTTATATAATATATCTGAGCGCAGTTCTCGATTAGTGACTGTAGCACTCTTATTTCTAAAGACAGGTCGGTGATCGCTGGCGGAGTTGCAACCAGAGTTGGCGCGAAAACAGTGCTCAAATTGTGGGCGGACATTTTGTTGATTTCAGCGTGCTGTGACACTCTATAAAACACAATACAAATGCAAAAATGGCTTTTTAATTAAAGACAACATTAAATACCCAACGAATTTAAGTGAATTTCTCAAATATTTTAACCGGCTTCTCAAATTCTGCACTGTCGACATTTTTGCGATTACTTCGACGAATCGACGCCATTTTGTAATCACGATAATGTCATATGATATTACAAAGACTTATGATACAATTTTATTAGTAAGCTGAGTTAGTATTGCTATGCAAAATATTTTACAAAGTAATAATTCAATGTTTTAAACGCCGCATACCCTGCGCGGTACTTAATAACTTACCTATGCAAATGTTGTACCATATACTGCAAACAGTTGAAGTGCGCTGGTGGCAAAGTATCCAAGCACTCGCGTAAAGCTGCCACTTGAACCACATTGGTCTTCATTTCTAGAATAGCAAATATTACTAAATTAATATAAAATGTATATAATTATCGTTATAACAAATACATTGCGATTACACTAAACTTTTCGGTACTTTAAGGATGTTGCTGCTACTGAAGTAAAAAAAAGTTTTAACATCGATGTAACCAGACGCAAGTTAATTGCTCACAGGTCAAACATTTTTAATAATCGAGACACCAAATTATCAATAGTCTATTATGAAAATATTATTCAAGTTAAGATCCTTCCTAGACAGAGAATCAGGCGCAGGGTATACATTACATACAGTACTCATTGAGGAGCTACGCGAAAATCTCAAAATAATGTGTTAACATTGTTTTTAAGATTTCCAATTATTTTTAGTTACCCAGAAAATACTGTTATAAAGATATGTTTAAACTTACGTATTGCCGAGATGAGCTTCGGGTAAACTTCATACGTGATAAGAGGAACTGGCAGAAGACGTAAATATAATTTCAGCGTCCCGGCAATAACGTTTATATTGCTGTACACACTTAAATCGGCTGCCTCACCATCTATAAGAGGGTAATTAACGACATAATTCACATATCCAATGGCGTTCATGGAGGACACATTTTTCTTCAAAATGTCTTTAAGGGCCAGATTTGCTCTCTATACAATTATATAATTTAAGTAAATATGTTTTATTAATGTAAGGCACTATGAATGTAAGTTACCTTTGTCAAAAGCCAATTTCAAGGCTTCAATTTCATCAGCGAAACCAGATACTCTGTAAATCCCCTCTGAATCCATCCCTCTAGCCTCTATCTCGTTAACACACTTCCTTACAACAAACGGTAAAGTGCTGGAGTGAGCATTCAGTAGAGTTGTTAAGTCAATACCAAAAACACCTCTCAGTTTCTTCAAGTCAGGTACACAATGATTTGGGACCCTTTCTGAGCATTTGGTGTGCGCTATAAAACCACAATCTGAAATATTTCAAAACTATAAAGACTTTGAAGTCCTAAGTTTAGTAATAATAAATAAATAAGTAATAATAATAATTAATTTTATTCTGTTCTATATTATTAAATAATATTTACACTTGAGCCTACCTCAATTGCAGTGAATGAAAGTGGATTAAGGTAAAAATTATATTGCAGTGTAGAACAGAAGTTAGCATACAGGGGTTGAGAAATAAAAAATGTCTTTATGGAAGAGGGGGAGAGAAAAGAAAGAGGTTCATTTGATGCAAAGTTAAAAACCTTTTGGAAGCTTACGTCATTCCTCCTTTAGCTATGATACGCTGAGCTGTGAATGGTCTGTAGCAATTTTCTAAGATTATTACTTGAAAAATATGCAATGTAAGTACCTTCACATTTAACGCCCTGAGCAGTAAACCCCCACAGGAAATTAGCACACAATTCACACCAATTAAGCCCTTTGAACGTATGAACCTTGAAACTGTGATACTTGGAATATTTGTATAATGGTGGTGGATCCTCAAGAGTCGGTGTCAAATTGAAAAGCGGTTGGTTATTATTAGTTGCTTCTAGTATTTTCTCATTCCTCTGGATGATAGGACTAGATCTATTTGATGCCCTGATGAAGAGAGTTGTTATTTTTTTATGAGTTAAGTTTTAAATGCTCAGAAATTAATGAGTGATTATCATATTAGGTATTATGATATCTTTAAAACATTATCATTTGCTGTTCTGTTGTAAGCATATGTTTAATCTTAACCTGAACACAGAAATTAATCTTTTATTTGAATACACAGGATTTAAAATTATATGAATTATAAAAATGAATTTAAATAAAACACTTTAACGGTTTAAAACGCGATATATTACCCGTGACCACGGCTGCAAAGCATCCGAAACGTCGGGCCGAAGTTAAAAATCATTTTTCAAATAAGTTTAACTAATATATCGCGTTTTAAACCGTTAAAGTGTTTTATTTAAATGTGTACTACTCGCGTAAACTATAGACAGTATATAAAAATAAAATTAGAACATTCACTTATTGGTTGTGTTAAAAAATTTAATTAAATAGAATGGAAATTGTACTTTAAACTACACGAAATAGCTTAAAATATAATTTCTAATAACTTAAAATATAATAACCTCAAGTAAGACTCTTGGGTGTATTTATTACTAAACCTTAGATAATAATAATTGACATCTATAGAAATTTACACACATATTTTGAATAATAGTAACTTACTGGTGTATCTGCGATAAGGTTTTCAATTTCTTCCTGTTAAGTGTGACATATGGACTCTCAGTGTAATTGGTACTAGAATTAATCATTTCAAGGATATGGTGTGCTTTTAATTCCATGTGGCATGTTATAAGACCATCAGCAACTAAGTCATAAATGGTTTCATATCGTTTTTCTTTTAAATAATGGCTCCCGTCGTAATATACCTTGTAATGATGAATTCTGTCATTAAACCTGGAACCATATTATGTTAATATTTAAGAAAGATATATCAAACATGGGAATCTTTTGGTTAACTTTTTAATGGTTAAAATAGGGTCTTACTTATATAAAAAGTAATCACTTTCCTTTACACATGTCTACAGTCAGACAAAAATGTAAAGAAAAGTTAATAAGTATGTTTATACATACATTGTCGCAATCTTTTACAATTGTTATACAGACATTCAAGACTTTTAGTTCTACAGTTTAAAGAAAAGGTATGCTCTTTTATGTTTGGAGGGGCTTATATCTTTAAAAAAAAACACAGCAGTAGGCATCTCGCATAACTTACTTCCAGGACAATGTGAAAAAATCATTATATTCATTGCCTTTACGGATTAAAAACGCTCCATTTGGCTCGTCTTCTAATAAATATGAAGCCTCTTTATTTCCCATTATACCGTGATATTCCTTTCCATAAAATTCGGGACGGTTAGGGCAATCTTCACAAACAATGCGTTTAGGCTGAGGGGCCTCTATTTGAATACGATACACTGAAAAACAGTAAAATCGGTCAATTATATAGGATGTACATAGGGGAAGTTACTTTCACTTATAAAATGAAAACGTACACTCTGGCTTCCATATATTTCTCAGGTTTTCCATTTTCAACATTCAATTTATGTACGACCGCAATGATATGTGTAATAAATGTTGAAAATCTAGAACATAGTATAGGAAAACGATTTTTGTAAACAAAACACAGCAGTTTGTATTTTGGGTGCTTTTTTGTATCTAGTGTCAACTTTTGACAACTGAATGTTATGTGACGTTTACCATACAGACTATGTAATATGTATTTACCAATTAATCCAGAATATATCACAGGCTTTGAAGAATCATAATATTTTTGAGTGGAATGTAGTTAAAAAAAAAGGATTTGTGTGAGGGAGGATTTATTTGCTACTTAATTTTTCGTAATTAATTTTATTGAGCACATTTTATATTATCTACGACCTAAATAATTTATATAAAGTATAAAATTAAATCTATATTGACATTTTATCCTTAATCCATTGAAGGTATTGGGCGGTATCAGTAAAAACTACGTATTCATTCAGATTACACGTGTAATCTCCATTTTGTGCTAATAAAGACAATGAGACTACGCCGCGGAGCCTCCACCTGCCATTGTCTAGAATGTAAAGACCTCCTCCCGAGTCCCCTAAACAAGGGCCTGATCCATTTTTGTCACCTGAAAATTGGAAGATTATATACAAGTTGTATTAGATTAGTTTCTAATTTGTAACTAAAGCATTAAAAAGTACAAGTCTCTGACCTGCACAAAGTGTCTTATGGGAAGTAAGTCTATGGAACTCCGGTTTGCTCGCACGGCACTCTTTTGTACTAACTACCGGCATTCGGACCATTCGTGGCTCGCCAGAACCCCCTGGTCCTGTTTCACTAGCTCCCCAACCAGCCACCTGCATAAAAAATTAATAAAAATTCTATAAACTAAAAATGATGGAGAAAAAGAAAAAATATATAATACATGTTGTACGTAGTACCAAGATCCATTATTTTTATTACAGTCAAAACCAAACTGGAAACTATATTCTTTCATTTGGAAGGGTAAATTATATACTTAAAAATACTATGTTGTATAAATTATGTAATAGCCTTACCACTCCTGTGGTGCCAACTATCCGACTAAGCTCGGTGTTACCACTCCAAAGGCAGGCTGGTTTAATATTCGAATTGAAGTTCACAGATCGCTCCAAAGTCATCACTAGGATATCATCTGTAAAGAAAGAAATATTAAGAATACTTTTAAGGGTTTAAAATGCGAAACAGGTATAGCAAGGTTTATTTATGGTCTCTCGTAACGATTACTGCTACAAAGCGTGTGAAACCTTTAAATTGTTAGTAAGTAGTAGTAGTAAAAACAAGTTAACTGATATATATCGTGTTATAAATTGATAAAAGTATTTTAATTATGTATTAACCCATAACTTTGACCATTCTTACAAGCGAAAATAAGAATTGCATAAGCAATTGTTTTAAAAATAAGTAGTATAAATAAAATTATTACTTGCGAGATTAGACGCATTATACGATTCATGTATGAATGCACTGCTTAGCTTTCTTGTTACAGTTATATCGTCGCCCCAATCATCTTCCAAGTTGAAAACACCAACTTTTACTATAATATCCGTCTTTGAAGTAAGTGTTGTCTTGCCTTTCATGCAGTGCGCCGCTAAAAGAATGTAATAATTAAATGTAAAGAATATTAGTTAACCAATTTTTTTAACTATGGCCCGACATTTTCGATGTGTGGTAACGGTAATGTCTAAGTCAAATCTGCTACACTAGGGCCATTTGTTTTGTAGTTTGTATTTGGAGAGACCGTGCAGTTTTTTTGTGATATAAAAATAAGCTAACTAATGTTGTAAACCGTTGCTTAATTGTTTCGTTTAAATGAGAACCTCTAGAGAGAACTCACACACAAACACAAACACAAGGAAATTAATAAAAATATTTACAGTAGGTACATTATAAATTAAACTCTTACCTGTAATTACATGTTGGTCTGAAATCAGAGTACCAGAACATATATAGGACAAGCTACTTGATTTCTTCTTGTAAATGGCGACCAGCCACGGCCACTCGCCCCTCTGATAGCTGCTTCCTTGGAAGATTAAGGGCACACTATCTGACACTACGCCGCATTCGTTAGACTGGTCCCGGTTTAATGGTGCTGGTGCCGGAGTCGGCCTGGGAATAAAGAAAAAAATTGTTATTACTAGATGTTAATGTAGTATAAAGTAGTTCGAAGGTTGTTTACTTTTGTATGTTGTAAACATAGTTAATAAAGTTTTACAGTTTTATGGCATACACGAATTTATATTACTTGCTGTGTTTATGCTCGATATGTTTGTTTGAACGCGTTAATCTCAGAAATTGAAGGTGTTGGAGCCATTCATTAAGCGGTGGCTTTTGCGTTAACGATTGGACAGGCGCAAAATAATAACCACAGAACTAACTAACACAGACGATGTAAGACGATTTAGTAATTTTGATAAGAAATAAATCGTTTTAAAGAATTAAAAAGTCGTTTCCTTGTATTAAACAGAAAGTTCGAATTGAAAAATTATTTTTGTGTTGGATGGATAATTTAAGGAATGCTTTAGGTTATATAACATCACGTTGCGACAGTTAAGAGCGAAGAAACATTGAAATGTGTGGAAAATATATTTATCATTGAGGACTTCGGTGCGTTCGCTGTGAAAACGGTTCAAGAAACCAAAAAATATATATGTTACAATGATATGTCTTTAAGTGATATAACAAAAATGTCTGCAATAGTATATGCTATCTTTTAAGTGAAACTCGCAAGTAGGACGGGACGCGGACGACGTCGTGGGTGCTAATTTATATAGCTGAGGAGATTGTTTGTAAAAATAAATATTTATAGCCCAAAATAACTATTCTACGCGGACAAAGTAGCAGGCACAGCTCGTAGATAATAAGAACGTTATATCATTTAACATTCGCCGAATCTATACGACGTCATATAATGAATAATTAAGTCACATTCCAAAAAACGAAATTAAACAAACATGAATTTTTACATCACAACTCTAGGTATAGCGTGTTTTCAAATATAAGAATTACCGCATTTTTTACCCTTCAAATTATTATTCTAAATTATAAGTCTCCACTATGCTTTTGAAATTTTTCTAGTACTCTATCAAAACAAAGCAAAAAAGCGATTTGCTCCTATAATCCTCTAGAAAGATTCCAGATTTATGATGCTCAACGATAGATAAAAAGTTAATAATACCTTGGTCTTTGTGTTGTCGTGGTCGTACGTATTGGTATTACGGGTCTTGGCGGTGGAGTATTATAATTTTCGTTTGGATACTGGTTTTGATTGATGTCCTCGTATTCTGGCTCCCGGTATGGGGGTCGTGTAGGTCGGGGTTGTACTGTTTGAACTACCGGACGCTGTACTGGTTTGGGGCGTGCTTCTACCTGGTACACTTCATAATCTGGTCGTTGGATCGGTGGAGGCGGTCGAGTGAACCTGTCTATGTTTTGTTGTCCGCCTGTGTTACAAATTTAATCTGTTAGGATGTACTCTCAAACTATACAAGTATTTCGTTTTTACATTTAGAAATCCACGGAGTGTAGTCCGACAAAATGAATGTTCTTTATGGTAAATCACAAGAAAAGGGTAGTTACATCCCTCAAAGGTCCCGTTATCAGGCCATAAAATATTATTATAAAAAATGCAAGGGATGTAAGATTGTTTCTAACATCAATATGTTGAATTCATTATCCATATGCTATGTACAAATTTTCCCACTTTTTGCCCCAGAGAGTACTTATGTTATAAGTATGTTAGGTCTAATAGCGTATAATGAAAGATTTTTATAAACATATATAAAAAAAAAGTTTTACCTGGGTTAAAGTTGGTCGTAGGTGGGTTATAAACTCCATTAAATCCATTTCGCATGAATAACGAGTGTTGTAGACTTATTGTTGTAACATATTGACCCGGGGCGGGCACATCTGTGAAAATTAGATTTTCGTAAAAATTACTTGAGATAGAAATATTTAGTTTTGAAATCAAAATATATTTTGAATAGAATGTATATTTTTTATATCCTATCGAGCTCGTTAAAATGTATTTTTTATTTTATTAAATTATACAATCTTATATTCTAAAATCTTGATAATGGTAATACCTGAATAAATAAGAAAACAGGTTACAGGTTTATTCAGAAAACAAACAAATTTATATGAAGACATTTTAAATTGTAAAAGACAGTTTATATTTATTATTTTTACAATACCCAAATTGCTTTTTAAATTTACGTTTTAATTAGATTGAATGTGGACTACTTATTCCACAAACACAAACTAGAAGCTCTAAACGTCCACTCTGAATTGGAGTTTTTTTATTTATTCTTTATTAGTTTATAATGTCAACAAAGTCGTGAAGAAATGTAGGACCTAACGTAACGAGATTTATCTGACTATTTGTAGCCATTACTTTTACCTCAAAAACAGTACATAAAAATAATATATAGATAAGTCTACATAGACATTATCAAGGCGTTTTAGATCGTGTACAATCCGTAATCGAACACTTCTTCTGGTTTTAGCATTCTGTAATTTCATCGCAGCTATCGTACGTCATAAATATCTTACCACCAGATCCATAGCATAACGGTATATCGTTCGCCGAAAGTCCGGTGAGCCGAGGTAATGGGGAGGTAACAGGAAAATTGACGCGGTATTGAATGGGGACGCCTCGATTGAAGTCCTGGAGTACGTTGAGCTCTTTTCCGTTATGCGAGATGCTGCCGACGTAGTTCTGAGAAAATTACATTCATTAATCAAAACGGGGACCCAATTTGCATCGTATTTTGGTCATTAATGCCATGGAATACGGAATGTATTACAATACAGTAGGTATTGGGGTTACAAAAACGAAATTCTTTCAAATTGAAAAGTTTTACGACACGGGCGGTTCTTAAACCGGCATCTACATGTAGTATATAGTGTCATCATGTGCAATGACATGTGAAAAATATTAAAGTTCTCAAACGAAATTCTTTCACACAAAACGTTACTTCGATAAGGTAATATAAAAAGTAACTACAAAAGTACAAAAAGTATTATACTTAAGTTCATTTACGAATACCTACAGTTAGAATACCAAAACTGTGCTGAGGGCAGGATTTAAATTAAGTGCATTATGATTGACAACTGTTGGTACTGTAAAGCAGATAATGTTTTTAAAAACTCGTTAATCAGTCATCTAAAACGGTTTTTAATTTATTCCAGGTAACGTCGAGACAAAAACACCTTAGTGTAAACAAATTATCACATTATTTCCTAGTAGCATCTGTACCGGTCTAGTTTGTTTCCATTTTATTTGAAATGTATAAATTCGCTTGTTTTTTTGAAGTTCCGCCTTTTTTTAAATATTTAAATATACTCTTACGTCAGTAAGGTGTCAGGTGGCAGATAGAGATCTTTTAAATACCACTGGCTCTTAACAAATAGAAAAAGGACCTAAAAATATAATAAATATATTACAGTTTGAATACTACGCAGTACATAGTCTATGTACAGAGGATAATTTTGACCTCGTTAAGTGTGTCCGCGGACTGCAAAGTTACTGAAGACAGGTTTATAAGTTCATTGTCACTGCCATTGGACGCGGGTCGGGTCTCTCCCGTTGAGGAAAACACGGCGCTGATTATCATAATTCACTATCGCGCATCATAATGAGTTGATCATAAGAGTCGAAATAACAATTCCAACTATTTTATAATTAATTAATTATCCACGTGCTTATGTATAAGGGCTGTTAATAATAACGTGTACTTTGGAGTTACAGCGCAAGTGAATGATTATAACGCTGATAATAACTGCCGTGTACCATTATTTTGTCTATAAAGATGTAGATTGGATGGAGTTGTAGTTACAAAAAAAAGCTTTGATTAATTAGATAAACATTAACTTGACAATATGTGTAATATCGTTAATTATTTATTTGATATCTGTTACCCAACAGAAAATTCGAACGTTAATTTACATTTTATTCAAACGAAAGCTACCAGAATTGAGGACTTGGATATTTCTGTATTATAACACTATTATATATTATGCAGCTAACATTTGAATTCTGAATCATAATTCAACACTCGCATAATTATTGAGCACAACATTTGTTCAAAATATTCAAATGTCTGATCGTTCACAGTGGTTGTAATTTTTATTTAAATTTTATTCCGTACAAACTAGCTGTGTCAGCGACTTGGTCCGCGTAACCTAGTTATTTTAGGCTTAAAAAATAGCAATCTCCGCAACCTCTTCATATTTATTAAGCTCTCACCCACGACATCGGTCGCGTCCCGACGTTATTGCAAGTGAATCTTAAAATGTCGCGGATTCATTCTTTCATACAACTTTTCAGAGTGAATTCAACCGTTTTCAGCAACCTACAAAAGTGATTAATTTTCCCCGTTTTTATCCACCTTTACCGCTCTTCCTTTGCTGCTGTAATTCGAAGCCTTTCTCGATAAATGTTTAAACCAATTTTAACTAGTAGTTTCTGAAATTAACGCGTTAAAACAAACCAACAAACTCTTCAGCGTTATATATTAGTATAGATACGTCATCATGTCACAGTAAATATGTAGCCAAGCTATTGCTATCTCTATTTTACATGTGAGCATATACGTGCTTAGCATTTTAATAAGGGTAAAACATTTAAGATTGTTTTGGTTATTAACCGATGGAAATTTCTACAAATGTTGTAATCAAGCAGTTTCATGTCGTAGTTGTTCCTTGGATAAACGTTAAATGAAAACTTTAAGGTTAAAAATATATATTAGTGAAATTATTTGAAAATGATTTTTAATTATTAAATATTATTGAAATGCTTTTAATAAAGTGTTTTATTTAAATGTGTACTATAGGTAAATATAAAAGTATATATAATAAAGTTAAGTTTTATGTGAAGTGTGAATTATAGTAAAGGTTAAAAAAGTTAAATTAATAAAAAAAAATAATAATAAAATAATATAAAGAAATTATATTATAGAAAAAAAAAAGTAAGTTAGACAAATAATAAAAAAAATAATTCAAAATTTAAAAAAAAAATAAATAAAAATTATAAATAAAATAATATTATGTAAAGCTTAACAATAAAGTATTCTGTTGTTTATGGGCATAGTGCTAACTAAAATAAATGAAACGCTTTTAACATGATCACGGATGCTACAAAGCTATGCGAAAGGTTGTAGTTTGAGATAGATAATATATTTAACGTTTTAACCCGTTTAATTGCTTTTATATTTTTATTAAAGCATAGTGAGGTTACGTCTCTATCATTATCTAAAGCTTACTATGCTATGAAACCGCAATGTCTTCGCATGTTGTAGAACATATTTATGCAAACATTATTAGTGTACACGGATGCTTTGTTTACTTAGATATGACTATTTTATTTGTTATATATTCTGCATTAATTATAATGTTATCCTTGTCGCACATGTGTAATAAAGCTTTAAAAGGAAAAGACAATACAAGTAAAAAAACTTAATAATATATTTATTTTATCAATGTGTTCATATTCGTTTTGAATAAATGGATGTCAGAACATCGTAGACATTTGGTAGAACATCAAATGTGTACGTTAGAGACAGATAACATTTTCAAAGATATCTATATCCTTTTTTATTTATTTGGGGTACATTTTCTTATTCGTTATAAGCATTGATATAACACGGAAGCTTTCAACTTTTCCCAAAAACATGCACAATGATGAATATTCAAATGTCTAAGCCCAAAGTTTTATGTAGTTGATCATATTGCTATTTATTATATATTAAAAATATTGTAAATAAAAATTTCTCTATTTATTCACTTACAGATTGCAGTCGCGCGGCTATAGTGAAATTCGCCTTTATAGTCACTGACGTCACAGTTCCAAAAGGCTGCAACAGTATAGTTCCGTAGACCCCCGAATTGTCCGTTTGGTAATTAAAAATGTCCGGACACGGCGACTGTCCACTGACGAAGGCGTCCAAAATCACCGCGAAAACACAAAACCACAAACGGATCATCCTAAAGCGATGTAAAGTATCGTCTTTTAAATGCGCATTTTGTTGTATTTTTCAAAGAAGCTTTGTACGTGTTTTCAAGGCCTTGATCGGATCCACACTGCTTGGCACCTGGACACGGCGTTATTAATTATTCTTACTATAAGTCTCTTTATGCGGAAAACCACAAAAAAACCAGATCTTTGCAAAAAAATCGACATTCAAGGGTATTTCGAGTGTGGGTTTTGGATGAGAAATTCCTAAACTGATGCTGGTAAAATACATTGTTTACAATTTATAAGTTTGGTATACGGTACATCTTTGACGTGAATACTATCTCGTTGTTAGCTTATGTAACATAGTTTGCGGGATATCTTCACAATAGAAGTGTCATATATTTTGGGGCATTCTGTTGGAATTAGATTTCTGGCGCTCTTTTTTTTACCTAACCTGTGTGTAAATTCCCCTAATGTGGGGCACGAGGGAGACATTTCTGTGTCCGTTACAATAATTGATGAGATGGACAGTAAAACTTGTCGATCAGGGATCTGTGCAGTGCCCAACGAAAACTTTGTTTTCCCCCTGCATTCGAACCTAGGATCTGTCTTGCTTTATGCAATGCAACTATTAGCCATTGAGCCATACGGTTCACATTTTTTTTACTATACGTATTTATATTATTATTTTTAAAGTTAATTATGTGGAAATATAGTTTAGTAAGATAGAAATCATTTATTGCTTACAATTGGAACTTGAACTGGCAAACGAAATGTTTATTGAGATTCGGCATTAAGTATGCCTTTTATCGGATATTACATTACGTCTCTATTTCTACGTCGTAGACAAAGTCAAAGTAGATCAGTGGTCTGTGGGAAAAACCGCGACATAAGTAGGAAAGGCGAAAGTCGTATGTTATTCCGACTTAAAAGGCTTGGCATTGGAAAGTTATAACGCTATAAACAAAGAGATCTAATAAAAAAGTTTGTTTAAGCTTCAACATTTTTTATCATCATCATTAGTATTAAATTAAAAAGTGCTTAAAAATGAGCCTATTTAATTGAATAGTATTTTCAGACACAGACTTATATAGTGCTAGTGTCTTAATTTTTACTGACAGGATTCGAACTATAGTTGAGGCGCCTTACAGACCGCTAGGACACGTTTCAACAGACTTAATCTTTTTTCCTTTATTTATTGAATTAAGTATATACATATGAGATTTATCGCTAGTGACAGACTTTGTAAAAAATTACCATCTTTGTGCGACTTTTATTAGTTACTAGATATTAAGATTAGGTATACAATAACATAATATGTTATATCATGAATTTATGCATTCATCTCAATGTTACACAACAAAAAATTTGTTAATAGTTTTGTTTGTTCCTTTATAATTTTGGATATAACAAAATGTATAAAATTAAACTATTTATTTTTTCATTTATAATTATTGTGTAAAAAGGAATAGTACAGACTAAAAATCCATTATCTACTTTAGCAAAAAAGAACTGCGTTTTGACATTGACTGTTTCAGAAACGTATCATTCAAGCTTGACAGATGACAACTACGAGTTTCATCATGGAGGCTCTCGCATAGAATTTTATTTTTATCAACGCCGCTTAAATATGAATTAAAAATGAAAGTTTAAATTAAGTTTTTATTAGTTTGTTAAAACAGAAAATGGTAACGATTGTTGATGATTTAGATTTTTTAACGGTTCAAGAGGCGATTTTCAAAGATGTCAAATATTACCTCTCCGGCGATGTTTCCGAAAGGGTTTGTTTTTATATTTTTACTTGTTTTTGTTTTATTAGACCTATGTGGTATAACTGGTATTGTGCTTTGTTATTCCAGACTATGCAGTTACTTCAGTCGGGCGGCGGCGACAACACGAAATATTTCTCGGATTACGTTACACATTTAATTTGTGGACAAAATGCCGCTGATACAGACATCGACGAAGCTCAGGATATCTATCAGATACCTGCTGTGACTGAAAATTGGGTATTTGCTTGTGCCAGGCTAAAGAAATTGGCAAATCCTAAACCTTATTTCCCTAGCAAAAACAAAATATTCACAAATGTTGTTGCTTGTGTGTCTAAAGTGAGTGCGGCCGACGCGAAGGCTTTATTCGCGCTTATAACTTACCATGGTGGAAAAGTGAAGTTAAATTTGGATAATCAGTGCACTCATTTAATCTGTGGCTCAACATTAGGTAAGAAGTATAGTGCAGCCCAATCTATATCTCATAGAATAAAAATTGTCACACCAGATTGGGTTTTAGAAAGCCTAAGAGCTAAGATACAAGCAGTGGCTGAAGTATTCCATCCTAAACTTTTGATCATACCTAAACCGCCTCCTAAACCTATGGATCGTATTAGTGCCATCACAGGGTTTGATTTTGAGGAAGGTATTGCCAAGAACGAAGTTCCAACTCAAAATATGTCGGAAAATAAGAATGATGACACTAAAGCACTTCTTGATAAATTAAAGCAACGGATGCCTTGGAATCATAATCCGTCTACTGCAAATTCATCTTCAATTTCTACTTCCAATGCCACATCTATGGGCTACTCAACTGCGGTAAATACGACTAGTATTGTCACTAAATCTTTACCTCAGGGAATTGTAACTCAAAATGTTCAGATATCCGGAGGTCAAAACCCACAGCTTATACAAAAATTTGGACAAAATCCAAATATGTCACAAGCAAATGTTGTTCAAAATCAACAGATTAATATACAGCAGGGCTATACACAGGCACAACAGGCTCCACAACCACATGGCCTGTCCGCAATACAAATACAACAGCAAAAATTGTTACAACAACATCAGCTCAGGATGCAAATGTTACAACAAGGCTTTACACAGCCAAATGTGTCACAGATGAATCAAAATATATCCAGTCAAATACAGCAGCATTTACAATCCAACCAACACCATGTTCAGCAATCTCCAAATATAACACAACAACAAAACAACACAATGACATCTGCGCAGCAACAGATTGAAAATATAAGCCAAATGCTTAGTCAAAGTGCAAATAATTTGCAACAAGCACAGCTAAACCAACAAAGCATGGCTATGAAGCAAAGTTTGACTCTGAGTCAGCAAAGTGCAGTTCAAAATATTGCTCAGCAATTAGCTCAGTCTACTCAAAATTTACAACAAAGTCTACAAAATGCAAAGCTTAATCAGAACCTTGGACAGACTCCAGGCATCAATCAACAGCAAGGCCAGGGTATGATTCAACAGCAGACAGTGCAGTCTCTGACAAATCAGCAACAAAATTTAAATACTCATGTTCAACAAGGACTTGTAACATCACAAGCTGGACAGATGAATCAATTAGTGAGCAACACTTCACAACAGTCAGTCATTGGTCAGCAAATACAGGGGCAACAAAGTAATATGCCAGTTCAAGGTACATGGCGGCAACAAAATATACAAATGGTTCAGAATGTTCAAGGTCAGCATCAAATTATCAGAAATCCCTTAGTACAGTCGAGGAACCCTCAAAGTCAAGTTATATTACAACAACAAATAATGCAGACGCAACAACAAGCATTGTTAAATAACCAACAGTCACAATTGAGTCCACAACATTCCGTTCAACAGACTCAGCAGATTTTACAGCAGTCTATAGGATCTCAGGGACAGTCAATAAATCAGACTCATCATCAGATATTGGTGCAGAAGCAGCAGCTATTGAATAGTGGAGGACAGCAGCAGATTGTCCAAGCTCCCCAACAGGTGTTGATTAACCAGCACACTGGTCATCAGCAGATATTAGTGCACGGAAACCAGCAGGTGTCATTACAAGGTGGACAGCAAATAGTATCCCAAAGTCAGATTGTCCATCCAGGGGGACAGTTAGTCAATCAAAGTGGGCAGCAAATTCTTACCCAGGGCACACAACAGGTCCTTTCTCAAGGTCAACATGTTATTACACAACAAGGTCAGCAGCACCAAGTTGTTATAGCTCAGTCGTCACAACAGATTGTGTCCCAACAGGGACAGCAAATTATTGGCCAGAATGTGGGACAGAACCAACAAGTGCTATCACAAGTGCCCCAATCCCCTCAGCCAAATCAGATAGGCAGTGGGGGGATACAACAGATAATAACTCATAGTGGAGGTCAACAGATTGTATCTCCTGGTGGGCAGCAGATAGTGCAGGGCGGGCAAAATGTGGCGTGGCAGCAGCAGCAATACATACAGCAGCGGCAGCCTATCGGACAGCCCGCTGGCGTCGGACAAAGGGTAAATTTTTTTTACGAAAAATTCTAACGCAATACATACTGAGTAGTAAAAAGTTAACTTAATAAATATTCTTTTTTGGATCTTTGATGTGATATTTGCATTAAATTTTCTTCGTCTGTGTGAAATAGTTATTTTGAGCATCATAGTTTATTTTTGCAAACAAGCAAACTCTTCTGCTTTATGATATTGGTATAGATATCTTATTTTAAAAACGAATAATTGCATGCTTTAGCCCTTACAAGTGTCGTGGACAGCCGGCGGTGGTGGACGTCAGCTGATACATTTGGATGCGCAGACGCATGCTCAACTACAACAAATGGACCCACAGCAGCGCGCTATGTTCGTGGCTCAACTGCAGAAGCGTCGTCAACTGCATATACAGCGGGCGCTGGCACAGCAGCAGGTAACTGGTTTTTGATAATATTCTTAGTATTCTGACGCCTCATAGTTTTTTTATTGTATTACAGATGGGGCTATCTGTGTCATTGTAGATAAATTATTATTACATTATATATAATTATTTGTTAGTTTAATCTAAAAGGAAAATCGCATATTTGAAAAACAAGTTTTAATTCTTGTTTGTAGTTTACACGAGTAGTATATATTTAAATAAAACCCTCTAACGGATTAAAACGCGTAATATGTTAGTTAAAGTGTGGGACAGGGGCAAACGGGTCTTCTCTTGACCACGGCATGCAAAGCATCTGAAACGTTAAAATAAGTTTAACCAATATATTTCGCATTTTAAATCGTTAAGCTGTACATTTAAGCTCTCATATATCACCTTTTCCGAAACGTTATCGTCGATTTTTATCTAACCATTGATATATGCACCTTCCGTATGTAATTTCAACCTTAATCGATTCTTAATTTATAAATTGCGATAATGATAAATATTAAAGTTTTCCATTATCTTTATTAAGGGTAGTTATTTGTATATAGGTACTAATGATGTTATTATTTGTTTAGCAACCTGTAGTATCTGGTGCTCCCGGGTCAGGTCTACCCGCGACGCAGAATGTGACATTTATACGTAGTCCGTTGCCGCCCGGCCTAACTCAGCAACAACAACAGGTTTGATATGTTTTCAATGTAATAATACTTATTTCAAACTTTTGCTTTTACTAAACACGACCTTTCATACAATTATTTCGCCGTGTTTTAGGAAAGAATAACCAAATTAGATGCCAATGTCTTGTATCTTAGTGCATTATAATATATATTTTTTAATATTACAGCGTTAAAATAATATTAGTTTAAAAGAAGTTTAAGTTACTAAGTTAATTTATTAAGTATTCGTTTTTTTGAGCTCTCTTTGCTCTTATTGGTCACAGCGATATTCGATAAATGCCGTAATCAACCCAAAAATTTACTTTTCGATTCGAACCAGTAGTTCCTGAGCGCGCATTCAACTGAACAAAGAAACTCTTCAGCTTTATAATATATTATAGATAATCGTATCTCAACATAATATCATCACTTTGAAATTAATTTATAATAAACCCTTAATGACGTCAGGTACAATGGCAAGTGCAACAGCCCGGGATCCGAACTGCCACCATCCCGGCCGCAACTCCTACCACACCTCAATCTCCAGGTAAATGACGTAAACACAATAAATTCGATAACAAGCAACATACAATGTAGAGAAATAAGTGTGGCAACGAGGGTACGATCGAGGACTACGAAACAGGCATTTTTTTATGATAGAGAAGGACAGACAAGCACGGTTGGGGTTTACTTATAAAAAAATTAAAAATTAAATTAAATTATAGACCTTCGTACATCAGAATCGTATCCTCCAAAGAGTAATCATAGCAGCAAAGGGCTGCAATAAATAAGTAAAACCTTATACAATTATAATTTATTTAATTTAACATTTTTAATTTAAAACACTTTAAGGTTTGAAACACGATATATTAGTTAAACTTATTTGAAAATGATTTTTAACTTCGGCCCGACCGTCCGAATGCTTTGCAGCAGCCGTACTTATAAGTTTAACTAATATATCGCGTTTTACACCATAAATGCGTACTACTCGCGTAAACTAGAGACAGTAATTAATATAATATTTTCAATGTTTTTTTACATAGTTTTATATGCCTAAGTGCAAAAAAACATATCTCTTAGTTCGGCGTGTCTTCTGACATAAGCAATACTCCATCCAATCTTTTGCACCCTGGTCTAATAAGGTCCTAAGGATAAGCGAAAGCGAGTAATAGTTAAAATTCATAACACTTGTATTATAACCCTATGTATCAGATTTTGAATAGCAAAATTACCTCGAAAGTCAGTAAGAGAATCGATATGCTTGACGGATTTAAATCAAAGTCGTGTTTTTAAAAAGCTTCGGGAATAAACATTTTATATTCCGCAAGTTATTGCACGTTAATAATTCAATTTTCATAATATATCGTTATGGCGATTTCATTTTTTCGAAATTTTCTATTCAAATCAAAACCCATATTTTAGCGCGGCGACGTCAACCATCACATTATAATTTCAATGTGTGTCACATTTTCTAAGCGTTTTCGAGAATTTGAGCTAAGTCAACATTTCTTGTCGGCGCGATTTGGTGAAAATCTTGTGTGGTGCTTTTTTTTATTAATAAAACAGTGATGGACTTTGATGAAGTTGATTGTAAGTCTAATGTGTTATGTAAAAACAGTAAGTTGTAGGTTTTAGTAAATGTCAAATGATTTGAATGCTTCGGCAATTCTAAGCAATATAATGCAGCTATATTATTCCTTCACTTATAAGCGCACACCAATATCTATTGTTTCTTGAATGAATCCTATGTTGGTAAATAGTAGAATCTTAAAAGATGTGTGAATGAAGCCCGTTGGGTTTTTTTTCATCTTATTCAAGTTAGTTGTAAAACTAAATATTTTTGATATCAATCTTATCTTTCTGAACATAACAAAAAAAAATAGCAAATTAAAAAAAAAAAAAAAAAAAAAATAATTTAAAAAAAAAAAAAATAAAAAAAAAAATATTAAAGGTTTAAAACGCGAAATATTAGTTAAAATTATTTGGCACTGCCGCTGCCGCAAAGCATGCAAAACGTCGGGTCTAAGTTAAACATTTTTAATAAGTTTAACTGAATATATCGCGCTTTAAACCGTTATAGTGTTTTATTTAAATGTGTACTACTCGCGTAAACTATAGACAGTACTAAACAAGTCTGTATAAAAAAATATTTATTTGTAATAGTTATAATATTACTGAATTTCACCTTATCCTTAACAGACAGGCACAAAGACACAAATACTAAAAAAAAAACTAAATAGGTAATATAATAGAATAGCATTAACTTGAATTTTCACAGTTTACACACTTTCACAGTTACGCGCTAGTCGGTTTTCCCTCGTTGTTTATTTTTGTGTGAATATACTATATGAGCAAATTTTTTGTCGCAGTTGGTTCGGTAGGCGGTAACGTGGGCACCGTGGGCGGTACGGCAAATGTGGGCGGCGTAGTAGAGACACAAATACAGCAGTTGCAGCGGCAACAGCAGTACCGACTACAGCAATTACAGGCGCAGCGTGATCACGCGCATCACCAGGCAAATAAACAGGTGATGAGCTAAATGGGACCGAAAGGTACCTTACTACAGATAAAGTCTTCAAAGTGGATCATTGAAAGAAGATATATAACGTAATTTCATAATGTTTCGCAGACTAATAGACTGAATATATTTTAGAAAATGTGACCATAGTATAAATAAATATTTTCCGTTGTGCAAAAAGGTTTTTTGTTCTTCCAGGCAGCCGTGACTCAACATGTCGTAACTCCCCTACAGGAACAACAGGTTGACGCGATTTTAACGCCAACGACACCTGAACAACAAGGTAACCTACGAGTAATAAAAAGAAAGTTTGTGAGGATTCGAGTGTTGTTACTCTTCAAAGGCTTAACCGATCCGATTGAAGGGTCTTCTGATATTTCATAATTCGATAAATGTATTTAAAAAACTACATGCCAAAATTTTTATTTCTGACATTAGGCGGCGCAGGCGCACTACTTGTGAATCCAAAGACAAAGACCGCTCTAGCGAATATGCTGTCCATACGCCTTCAAGGCACCGCACCGCCCAACGATCATGAACCATCCGCGGCCGGCACGCTAAGGTATTTACACAAAATTATAAAAGTAGCATCTTTCAAATTGAAGCCGCAAATAATAAAACAACGGTAATCAAAAATTTTACCCCTTAACTTTCAAAGGTTAATGACCGCTGCGCACGCGGCTAGCGGGGCAGTTCGTGCGCCGACGAGGTTGCTGCTAGGGGCAGCACATCATCCACATACAGTGCCGACACCGGTTATTTTTGTTTATTTATTTACACATAGATTGACAGGGCTTATCGTATTGCCATCAAACATGAATACAATAAAAATGTGTGTTATTCTTACTTCGTCCAAGAAAGTAAATTAATCCTGTTCGAATTGGTTACCAGGATTATAGGATAGGAATTTAATAAAACTAATATTATTTACCTTACGGTATAAAGGGAGACTTAACAAAACACCCAAACCGATATAATAATTGTTTTTTTTTCCAGGGTGTCGGTGCAGTACAAGTGGGTAACAAAGTGTACGGTGGGGTTGGTACAGTGGGGGCGGTGCGAGCAGCTCCACCACGAGCGCAGTTCTACGGACACAATCCTAATCTCAAACTACCGCCAGATCTCTTCCTACTTGGCTGTGTCTTTCATGTTGTGAGTATTTTGTTCACGTTAGAAGTGTTTAATAGTTTTATTTAAATGTCAATTGTCAAATGTATGTAAGCATTTGAAAATTGACATTTAAACAACGGACTGAAACCGAGACTCTTACGCTTTACGACTATCCCAATCGTGAGCTGTGGTTTGTTCCCCGAAGTAATTTTATTATATGACATGCTTCAAACATTAAAAATTTGGTTTAGAATCATATTGAACTGGACTCACGACCCGCTGCGTATCAGCCATTTTATATACTATACATATATATACTAAACAGCCGGTCTAAATAGGGTACGAAACAAGTTCGTGCTGTATAAAACAATAAATAATATTCTTTACCAGGTTGAGTATCAGCAGTCCGTGGGCACAGACCGCGTGTCCCGTTGGACCGAGGCGATCCAACGCCGCGGCGGTGAAGTGGAGGCGGGCTACTGCGCAAGAGTCACTCACGTGCTCTGTGAAACGCAGCGACATGGCGTTGTTATGCAGGTACTTATGGAAATAGCAAGATTTAATCTTTGAGATCGTTGTAAGCAATAGCAATTTCATGTTGTTTTCTTTTTAATGATACATGCGCAAATGAGACAAGCTATTTTAATATAACGGCTTAAAACGCGAAATATTTTACTAAAGCTTAGTTGAAATTATTATGATTAAAATTTTTATTAACAAAAATTCTTAACACCGGCCCGTATGATAACAAAAATTATACTATATATGACGTTATAGTCCTCCCGTGACCACTACTGCTGCAAAACATAAAACATCGGTTCGCATTAAAATTATTAGAAAATACGTACATATACGATGCATTTCGCGTTTTAAACCGTTAAAAGTATTTTATTTTGTATAAAAGCGTTCTACTTCCGTAATTTACAGATTAAACATTGTAATAAAAGGTTAGTCTTCATATTATAGTTTTATTTTTAATACTAATATTCTGCATTCAGGTTAGGACTAAATATAAGAAAAAAATATGAAATAACTTTGTCCAGGCACTGCGGGACGCTAAACGCTGTGTGACCGCGTACTGGGTCTCAGACACAATGGAGCGTAGGGCTGTGGCTCCTCCATGGCAGGCCATCCACCTACCCACGATGTACTCGCTACGAGAGAGACCAGCGAGGCACCATCGCGCTGTGCTCTCCGGTTGGAGAAGAGATGAAAGGCGGCGTCTGGCCTGCTGTTTAAGACAAGTCGGGGCTAAGGTGTGTGAACCTTGAACGAGAAACATAAAATAGTACTTGTAGTATATAAGAATTAATAATAATATCAAAGCCTTTTTTTTAATTTTATTAGTCTTCCAACTTCTTACACTCGTCTGTTAGTGTTGCAATTCACGTCCACGTTTTTATACAAGAATTTAAGATGGAATAACGAGAGTTTGCAAGAAAACCGAAAGATTTGAAGGGGACATTTGGCTAAGGGGGAATGGTTAGCAGAGAATGTAGACTGATCACCCTGCCATCTATCGGTGCCCTTAATAGAAAACAACAATAATAATCCCCAGTATGGTCTGTGGAGTTGTGAACCTAATAGTCAATTGTCTGTATTGATCAGTTAAAAAACTTTGCATAGCATTGCGCTAAACCCTGGAGGTCCGTGGTTCAAATGCAGGGAAAAGCATTAATTTGTTTGGCTAACTACTTGCCAGTGACTAAAAATCGATCAGTGAAATGGTAGGGTTGTCCAAGGTAGAAACGGTATTTTTTAAATACTTGTTATATGAAACACCTGTAGTTAAATGGTAAACCGTGTTGCCTAGAGTTGCGCGACACAGAAGTATGATTAACCTAAAATAAACCCAGCAATGAAAGGCACATAAACATGTGTTCGCCCCATGGCCCACGATTTTAAGTATGTATATGATAATACAGTTTCGAGTAATTATTGTATGTTCCAATACTCTATAGCTGACTCCGTACATGACAAGGGACAACACGGTGCTGATCTGCAAGCGGGCGGAGGGGAACAAGTACAGACGAGCCAGGGAGTGGGCCATTCCCGTCGTGAGCGCCGCCTGGATCACAGACCTGCTGCTCGGGAACATGACGGCTCTGATGCAGGTACGTGTCATTGAAACATGAGTTTATCCTAGGTATAAATCTTAAACCAGACAAAATTATTTTATAAGCTAACATAAAATTTGTTTATTTGTAGAGATATATAGTTCACCGATAGTAGTAAAGAATGAATAAAATTTCTACCAAAGGAAATCAGTATGTTTTCGCTATACCAGAATTATTTTTCACCATAAAAAGATCGAGTGTTCTTCACGATGTTTGTCTTTTATTAATATAATTTATTTCAACATACATCGTTTAAGTTCGAAAGATCTTATTATAAGGTACTTTCAGGTTACTGACTGAGTGTTAAGAATATTTGTCAATAAATACAGTAACTCAATTTGTAGAACAAACAGCACGGATGCAGATGGATGGACCTATGTTGTCTATTCCTTAACTCATAAGCTCAAGCAAGTTTTACTGCATTTCAGATAGAGAATGCAAAATATCAACAGTTCAACTTGGCCAGTCCATTTCGACTGGATTACGGATTGGTGTCGCATCTCATGAGTGAGTCAATTGATTATTAACATTTGATGCATAGTTACTAATTTACTTAAAAATATAAGTTACAAATGATTTTACTTGTACGAGGAACTAATATTAACATTGTGTAAATAATAGAATACTGATAGAAATTGCCTATGGTAAAATTATTCAAATCTTATTTTTTTTTGTTCAAACGGAAGGACGAGCGACACAACAGTGTTGGTATGTCTTATATTACAGATGCGTGGAAAATGCCAATAAACATAACGCAAGAGTCGCACGAGCGGGCTAAACGGGCGGCGGCGGCTGCGGGCGAGCGGCGCGCTAAACGGCCCCGACTCGATCCCTCCCCTTCGCCTGTGTCCACGCCTACCCCGGCCGCGTCTCCACACCTTGTTGCTCCACCTCCCCTCCATCTCGCTCCGCGTGTTCTCTTCTCTAACGTGACACCGTCAGCTCAAATGAGGCTCGCTGCTACGGTCAGGTCAGGATGTAAAATAATGATTGAATAGCCATTTTACTTAAATCCAACTGTAAAATATTATCTTTTATCATTATAAAATCAATATTTTGTATTCCTTTATAGAAAATACAAAAATATTTATTATTATTAAGCTTGCTTCTTTCTTCTAGACAACTTGGCGGCCTAGTGGTTACATCCGCAGCCGAGGCAACCCACCTAGTCATGGAGAAACTAGTGCGCACGTGCAAGTTGGTCAGCTGTTTGATTACTGTCAAGCACCTCCTCACGACAGAGTGGGTGGCAGAGAGTCAACGACACAACAAATTCGCCGACGAGGCCAAATTTGCACTCCGCGATGAGGAGTTCAACAAAACCTTTAAATGTGACGTGGATGAAGTCCTACTTGGCGGGGAACAGAGAAAGAAACTATTTGAGGGTATCACCTTCTTCCTCACACCCTGTGTTAAGCCTGCCAAAGCGAGTCTGACAGAAATGATAGAATTGTGCGGCGGTAAAGTAGAGAAAAACAGACGGTCGTACGTGTCGATACAGGAAATGCACAACGCCAGACCGTATAGCTATCTCGTTCTAACTGTCCCCAACGATCTGCATTTGGTGTATTATCTTCTACAATCGGAGAAAACGTTGAACGTCGTCTGCAGCACTGAAGTGGTCCTGTCAGCTATAATGCGCCAAAAGTTGGCGATAGAAGAGTTTCTCGTGAAAATAGATTGATTTTTAGAAAAAAATCATTAGACGTCACTAAATATATTTGAAATATTTATGTAGATGCTCATTTCAGGTCGACACCCATAATTGACGTAAGGTCAGTTTTAGAAATTTCCACTTAAAGCTATTTGAATTATAAAAAAAAAATATTTATATTATTGTTCATGATTATACTGAAATCTTTTGAAGAATATTATATTCAGTTTTGAAGGAAAACGTTACATGGCCTTGTGACAACTTGTAAAATAAATTAAAAAAAAATATTATTTTACGTTTGGTTAAAAATAAATTCTTCAGAGTGTAGAATTTGCTATAAGTATAAATGTATATTATTATATAAGAAAATTATTTCTATGCATTTTGAGAGTTTTATACTGTATAAAAATATGTGGCTTACAAGCAATATAAAATTTTAATAATTATAATTTATTTGTTTATTTAGCTCTGACAACTTAACAATGAATTTACAAGCTATTCTAATTTTACATTTATCACGTTGTGAGAGCCTGCTGCCTGTTATAAGACCAGCCAAAGAAATATCCTTAGGCCTTTATGAATAGTCAGTTAGGTAGAAGCTTCGTATGTTGCGATAATGATTCCTAGATGTACAACGGTGTTTGGGAACTATTTACTGCTAGAGAAAACACTGTCTAATTCTGCACTTGGGCATTCTCTATTGTACCGCTTAGCGGTGTTTAAAAGATTCCATTCAGTTAGTGTGTCCGAGAATTCAATATTTATTGTTGAGACAGAATTTTGTACGCGGGAAATCGATGCACATCGCGTGTGCGATCTCTTAATTGTTCCATATCGACAAACTGTTAATTATATGTCATATTAAAAAGGACACTTTTCTTTTCGTTCAAGAATTTTGGGGAATTTTTTATTTCGATAGAGTTTTTTTGTACGATCTTTCAACGCCACTTAGTTTAGGTTAGTATCATTTATTTGTGGGCATCTTAGCATTTTTCACTTGACTTAAAGAGGATAGAAGAACACAATTAGCATTTTGTTATTATTATGCAGCTTTTTTATAGTTTGCGCACATGCGAATGGTTGATACATGTGCGCACATATGAATCAACCAATAAACTGCCGGGTTAGCGCACAATCAAGCCAATCATCTAAAACTTTGTGTTTTCTCGTGTCACTTTATCAACCGCTAATTGTTTAATCTGATTTTTTAATTTTTTTCTGTACACTTATAACGATAACCAAAAATTCTTAAAAATTGTAATATAAGAAAATTTTGGCACGGTACTTTTGATTGCTGTGACTACAAAGAATGAATGACAGGACAACAATTATAATAACATAATTTATTTAGATATAACTCGATATTCGTATAACTTAAATAAACATTAATACATCTAGTGGAATTTACATAAGTCTTTAAAATAGCTTAATACTTCGAGATTACGACTTCAGTATGGCCTCGTAAGCTTGGAACACGCACGTCGCCACTTCCACTGTGCGCGACTTGAGGCTGAGCGTCGCTTCGGGGTTGCCCGGCTGCAACTTAAGCTCCAGCAAGACCCAGATGTTGTTGGTGAGCTTGAGAGACTGGTAGAGCATGTCTTGGCCTTCGACGTTTCTTTTGGCGATTGTGAAAATGTTGTTCAGCGACATCTTGTGGGCGATGGTGTCAGCTGTTCCGACGACGCCGCTAATGGTATGTTGCACTTCGTTCGCAGCGGGGATTTCCTTCCAGGTGGTTAAGAAGACGCGTTTGTCCAATTGTCCGTCTTCGGTGAAGAGCACATGTGCTGGGATCAAGCAAGCGAAGTAGAATACGTCGATGTTGTTCTTGACGGCTACCTAAAAATCGATTCAAATAAATTATTAAATACGAAATAAAATTAAACTCGGTGTACTCTGGGGTAAATCAACTTAACAATAATTGAAAACCCTCATATTTCATAATTTGTAGAGAGAAGTATTCGAAATTGTTTAAATTGTTAATCAGTGAATTAAATTACAGCATAAAATGTATTGTAACCTGTAGGTTGTTAAGTGGGTCCATCCTTTGAACAGGTCCACCGGTTGCTAAGGGCAACGGAGCGTCTGCGCGCGCGCCGGCACCGACCGCGCCCACTGACAGCGCACCCGCGGGGTACACTCCAAAACTGTTTCATAAAACACTTTTTAAGTGGACATTGTAAGATCGAAGAAACAAATGATTAGAATTAGCTGAACGATGCGATTTATACTTTTCTAAAGTATTGGTAAAATTTCATTTCGTTTATTAACTAAATACATGTAGTAGACATTTAAAACACTAACGGTTTAAAACGCGATATATATTGCCACCATATAATGTGACGACGGCTGTTCGGGCCGAAATTTAAAATAATTTTCAAATAAGTTTAACTAATATTTATCGCGTTTTAAACAGTTAAAGTGTTTTATTTAATTAAATACTAATGATAATAATTATTAATATAGCTTGAAGCTAGATTATATTCCGAAACGTAAAAATTTTTTCTTAATTATAGAGGCGCTAAGCTGCAATTATGGAGAAAACAGTTTTATTACATTTTTGTAGACACATTCAAGATTTAATATTTAAAATATTTAAGAAATTATGTAGCATAAGGACGTAAGGAACTCACCTGTTCTTGTTGAGTTGTATAGCAAACCCAGTCATCGGCTGCATGGCCTTGTTTGTTAATGTCATCTCCATACGTGGCTGGCCGCCTTGACGACTGAAGGTTCCCCAGATCTCCAAACCTAAAATATATAGACAAATTAAGACACTAGAAAAAATGAGTCTAAGTATATATATACATGAAAATACAAAAATTTTCATAAACTAGTTTTTTAGTACTTTTTCTTTTTTCATACCTTTTCCCTTATCAGCGGGTAGCCAGCATTGTTTTATTGGAACAAAGGAAGCCGGTGGTGCGGCCACACCAAAGATATCTCCCAAAAGGCCAGTTGTACTCGGGGCAGGTGTTGGTTCTGTGCCTCCCAGCTTTAATATAAAAAATAATATAGGTGTTTTAACTTTGTAACACTTCAAAGGACTCAATATAAGTTATAATAGTCCTTCGATCCGGATCCATCTTATATAAAAAGAAATATACTCACGAGAACATCAAGTCCACCAGCAAGTAGATCTAGGTTTGAAGCTGGTGGAGGTGCCGCTGCTCCTCCAGCCGCGTTCGTCGCGCTTGAACCACCAATATCCATTGATAGAAGGTCGCCGATCAAAGATTCCTGCAAAGCATGCGTTTTATATACTACTAAAACAAATTAAAAAATAGCAATAGACTTTCGATATACACTTTTATGTGGATGTAATGAGTCATATCATAATAATGGAGATTCTCGTTTTGTACTCTAATAGATACTTTACAGAATAGCATTATTCCCTTAAAAACTGTAAAGAATAATATCGTCCCAAGCCCCAAGTACGCTTATTTTCATACCTGGTTGGGTATAACAGTAGGTTGCGGTAGAGAATCTTCTACTCCACCAACACCGCGGGCGGGAAGAGATTTTCGCACGCCTGCTGCGCGACCTACGATAGACATAAAAAAAATATTTTGTCATTTTCTATTAGACAAGAAATAAAAGATACCCTTATTATGGAGACAAACAACGGAAAGGATTGAAAAACTGCTAACAGTTAAAATTACCTTCAACGAAAGCAGTCGGTGGCTTATGATAAACGGAAGCCAGGGAACTAATGTGGCAAATAAGCTCATCAAGCAGCGTGGGTTCCAGCAGGTCAGTCTCCTCAGAGATGAGAGGTTTGTCAGCGAGCACGACTTCTTTGGCTGCAGCTGGGTCCGTGGACAACAATCGCCAGTAGATAAACCCACGGTCTCTGTAAAGTTTCATGTACTAGTAATCAGAATTGCTTGATTTTTTTTTTTAAAAAAATTTTTTTTTTTTTTTTGGGGGGGGGGAAATTGGAAAAAAAAAAAAAAAAAAGGGGGAATTTTTTTTTCGGCGGGAAAAGTCGGTTTACATCTCAACAACGTGGACTGTTCGCTTTTCTTAAATATTACATGTAGGTACTTATGTAAATTATAGTCTAAAGATAAGAGAAACGTTACCTTAGGTCGGGGTTATCAGAGTCCTGAGTCGCCAGACTGAGCACGTGCTGTACTAACTCTTGGGTGTCAGCTGGCCGCTTTAGGAACAGTTTCACGACAGCCGTCAACAGTTGGAGTTGTACCTGTGACACAATGTAACCTCTTAGGTGCATTTAGATAAATAAAAGGGAAATAGCCAATTTTTATTCATAAATATGAAAAAAAGAATGAAATAAATTTGCTGAATAAAATTTTTCTTATTAAAATGATGACTGAATTTGACGTACATAGAATTATAGCAAAGTACGGCTATTAATTTACCTGTGCATTTTCATCGTGGAATCCCTCGAGGAATGAATCCAATAACTCGTCCGCGTTATCAATACGCTCTGCGTACTCTCCAACGATCCAAACCTATTGATACGAGTACAAATACTTCAGTAAGATATGGTGGTAAAAAAAATCTGATTCGTTTCAGCATTCAGAAATGGTAAAGGGCGGGCTACTCTAAGCATTTAGAAGCAATACGCATTACAAACAATACATGCATATGGCTTCACTTCATTATAGTTCTTACCATGGAAGCTCTAGCTTCAGGTTCGTCCAGGGTGTCCAAATTCTCACAGAGCGTGCTGATAATGCTCTCATACTTGTTGGGGTACTTTCTGAATATATCTTTTATCACCACAATCGCTTCTTGAACCACGTAATTGACCTTTGTCTGAATTAGTTCCAACAGCGTCGATACACAGCGTTCGGCTGATGGCTCCACCTGAAAAAATAACCTTTTTAGGAAATTCCCTTACTATAGCGTGTATTTTTGATTAAAGATTAATAGACATTTTAAAACTTTTGACTCATTTTGCAAAAGGGAATAATGTATAACATCTTTGATAGCAAAATTAATCGTTTTGGTCCTTCAAGCCAGAACCTTGATTAATTCTACTACTACCATTAATAGCTACCTTAATTGCACATCTGCCGATAGCTCTAACGGCTTTTCTCACGAAATCCACATCCACCTCAGTAGCATACTCCTTAAGCTCGCCTAGGACTTGTGCGATGTTGGCCTGCGACGCGAGACGAATCATGATGTCCAGTTTCTCAAGTTTCACATAGATCGGGTCGTTGTATTTCACGAAGAATACCTTTTTAGAAACAATAATATATTAATGCAAGAAAACTTAAACTAAAGCAAATTGAACAGATGTTTTTTAAGTGTCTTTTTGAGTGATGCTATAATAACTACCTTTTATTATACTCTATGCAAGTATAAAGTACTCTTTGTAGGACATAATAAAAAGGAACGTTATAGAGAAAAGTTATTAAAGTACTTATTATATACCTTCATTTCGTGCTTCAATATTTCAGGTCTCTTCTGTACCACCAAGTTGATATTCCGGAGAGCCACGTACTGCACTTCGGGTTCAGCACTGAGCAATGTTACCAGAGGTGGGGCCAGCTTACGCGACAACGTGCTCACTAATTCCGTCTCGTCGGATAACATTTCCATTAATTTCATCAGTACCTGAATAAAATATTATACATGTTATTAAGAAAAACAAAAAAAAAATATTACTAGACACTTTCCTTTTAGTTTTTTTGTTTGTATGTACTGATAAATTTTAAACTTTTTTTTTATTTACAATATTTGGAATTAATACATCGTAACTCATAAATAAATAATGTTTTTTAATAATAATTTTCTCAATTTTAATGAATTCCAATAGGCAAGTTAAATAAATAGTAATTATAGAAGATGAAGAATCTTGCTAACTAATAGTTTCGCAGTAAAATTAGCAAATATCTGTCATAACCTATAGGTATGTTCAGAGCAGTATCACTGACAAGTTTTATCAGAATCAGCTGAGCAAAAGAGTATTACAGGTTCATTCATCATATAAGATAATTTAAATGTCTACCTTCACGGCTGAAAGAACTACGGCAGCATTGGCGTGTGCCAGACGTGGAGTAATCCGCTCGCAGATGGAATGAGCCTCGCGGGAATCCCTCGGACAGTAGTTAGACAATGCGTCCAATATGAACACTTGACCCCACTCCGTGCACTCATTCAACGCTGTCAATAGCTTGTTTATGGTTGGTGCGTTCATTTCTGGATAAAAAATTGTTATATATAGACTTGGATCAGTAAAACTTAGGTTCACACAATATACTTTTTGGATTAAGGTTACCAAAGTATTGATTCCATACCAAAGAAAAATAATAACTGTCCACTTGGACTTAGTTAAAGGAAGATATAGGTATGAAATGAATATAAAGCTACCGACTTATTACAAATGTCACCCAAAGTCTCGAAGGAGCAAATGGGTGAAATAATCAGCTGATTAGTGTAGACTGATTACCCTCTATCACTATCCTCAATAGACAATGATAAATAATAATAATAACATACCTACTAGAGGATGGCCAGATACACTGGCCTCATTGATCTCTGAGAGAGCTGCGACTGCATTTGCCACGACCATGGGATTGGAATCACTTAATAAGTCCTTTAGCTGGTCTAAGAAACCCTGAGAGCATTAAATACATAATATTATTATAATAATACTTTGTGTATTAATTATTTGCAAAAATAAACATCTTTCTGATTTAAACAAAATTATTAAACTTCAGGTTTGAAGAGTTTCCTTTTACTAAGAGTAAATATTCACTTAAGTCTACTTACTGTACTATCTATAAATCTATATAATTGCAATGCAATAGTATTCGTACCTGATCTTCAACCATACTGGGCGATATGTCATACAACTTAGCGACGCAAACGGCTGCAGTCTTTCGCACATAGGGATCTTCGTCCTTCAAACATTTCCGCAGCGGCTCACATAGGTACTCAGTGATCTTGTCCACCCGAATGCATCCCATAGTACGCACAGCCAAAGCCCGAATCAGTGGGTTGGAATCTTCACAATCCTGAATTTTTTCATCGTTTTTGCATTCAGTAGTAAGATGAGAAAAAGAAGCAACACATCAATAATACTGAAGCTATCTGACTATAAGCGAGTATGGTAGAAATTCACCACTATCAGGGCTGCTATATAGGGTGTGGTTTGACTTTCAATCTAATTGGTTGTGTGCCAAGTTTTCTAACTACATAGCATTATAGAATTTACAATATTTCATAGCCACAATTACAGTATCAATTAATTAAACTAAGTTGATGTGTTTAGGAAATTCAACTGATCTGCTTGATAAGTAACTATAATTTTAAAAAAGAAGAGTTAATATTATTTAGAACAGTTATCATCTAATCGTCTAGCTGGCATTGCAGGCCTAAAGTATTTAAGAGACCTAAAAGACCTAGGAATAAGGCTTGATATAAGAAGTAATGTTGCATGTAATAAGACGGATTCTATAAAGTGATTATTTACAATTTTGCACCCACATAACTTGAATATTGCCAGTGGGAAGCTAAAGCTACACAGTTACATTTGAAGGCAATTTTCTACCATACAATTAGAGTAAAAATAGCCAATGTGCTTCTAATTTGAATCGTTATGATGAGGTATGACTTTATTTTAGGGTTGATATAGTTTTTGACAAATTTATGTAGATTTACACATTTGTGCTAGATGATATTGGACAGTGTGCATGCGGACCTATAAGACTATTCCCAGAATATTCTTGTGCCTGTACAATGTGTAAATCTACAAACGATGAGCTGATTTCTCTGGATCATAGGTTTACCTTAACAAGCTGGTATGTTGGTAGATCCTTCCACCCATCATAATGTACAGTAGACATTAAAACGACAAAAAAGACAAGTCACTCACATACATAACTAATCTACGTTACTTGTCATTACATTATTGAGTTAACATTTATTTTACATATTAAGCAATACTTATGGAGTTTTTCTTAAGCTGATAAATGTTGTTTTAGCTATCCTTTCTCTCATACGATACCCTTGTTCCATGGATTTTGCAAATAATAATTGATGAAAAGCATTAACAAAATTATTGTGAACATTTGACCTGAAATTAATGTATATAAACTGATCCATACCTTGACAAATGTATTGACAGCCATAATAGCCATGTCTGGCTGTGATTTTGCATAATTCATAAGATATAAGTAGACTAGCTTCTTAAGTTCCAAATTATCCGTCTGCATACAATTTACTACATCTGGAAATAGTGCAGACACATCTTTGCCGACTGTCATGGACGCTATGACCTACAATTAAAAACTTAAGTTAATTTTAATACAAATATGAAAATCACATCAGTTATTAGAAAAAAAAACATTTGATAATTATTGAACAAATCACAAGCCTTGGTACAAGCATGGTCTAGTTACACAATATAATCACTTCAATATTTAATACATATAACAGATAATATTTCTGAAACACATAATAGTGTTCTATCCAAATAAAAACTAAAGAGTAAGGGTAAACTAAAGGCCTATAACTCAATAGGAGGTTGAATTAGATGGTCCAGGAAAGGAATTATTGTAACGAAAATGGAAACTTTCAATACATTTACTTTAATTTAAGACGCAAGGCATATTGTTATTCATTATCAGCACGTGAAGGTAAGATGTTTTACTCACCTTCTTAACAGCTTCTTTTTTTTTCTCCTTCTTGTCACTGTTGAGCTCCGACTTAAGTTCGAATATCTCCCCCTTTTTCGTAGTAGTAAAATACTTTGAGTCAGTCATTTTACTCTACTTGTACAACAAGTCTATAAATTTAACCGCTATTAGAATGTGTGTAATAAAATTGAAACTCAAAAATCAATAGTCGCAGGAATGTCAAACTAAACTTGAAAGAGAGCGTATTTTGTGAAAAATTTAACGTCTCTTGTAAGAGTCAAGTACTTAACAAAAAATAATTAAAGTCTATGTATAACTTATTTTTGTATTAAAATGATTAAAAATACTCGTACACAAGAAATATTAATGCCAAAATATCAATTATTAATATAAAGCGAACTCTGAAAGGGGCGTATAATTCGTAACCTTCTGCTGTTGATAGCTGTCACTGTCAAACCCTTGAAAGTAGATGACATCACAAATAAAGACAGTGACAGATAAAATACACTGATTCCACAGACTGTTCTAAAGAAGAAAACAGTCACTTAAAATAAAAATTCGAATTCTATTATACCATAATATGTTTACGAGCACTCCTCTAGCGACAAAATTAAGAAGTTATTCAAAAACGAGTAACGACATTTTTTAAATTGATTTCATAACTTCAGACCGGCCAAAAAGTTTGGAGAACTGTAGGTGATTTAGCTTAGTTGAAGCAAACAATACTAAGAGAAACTAGATAGGCGAAGTTAAGGCAAAAACAAGAAACGAGTGTACCAAGGTAAATAAGCCGATGAATTGTAAATAGTTAATCTAATAATTGTACAAATAATATATACCTAGTATCTTTTTCTTTCCAAATCAAATACTTCTTAAATATTTTTTTCTTAAAATGAGTTTTGTGTTTTTGAATATGTTGATTTCGTCAAATAAATCTATCTCCTTTCACTGATTTTCCATATTTTAGAATTAACTATTTGAATTTTTGTTTATTAAATTTCAACGTTATCGTTAATATTAGTTTTGTTCCTCTCTATTAGCTAATGAAGTGTTAAACAAGTTCTTTACTTTTGTATTGTACCATTAGTATTTCTGAGAAAACTACCTGTTATATAAATATCATTACGGAATATACATGGTACTGATATGAATAAAGGTATAGTAATTGTGGTCGAACTAGCGATCTGTTTTTTAATCAAAGTTGTAGAGCAGTACCTACTTAATGCTTATAGATCTCTTGCCTCAAAATAGTCCAGTCATCATTGTTATTTAAGTAGGATATGTCACATGTCTGATTAATACTTTTGCTTATGCGTTGGCTATTGACAATATATTTATTGTTTTGATATAGGAAAATGCTTTCATTTTAAATAGTTTTTCTGTATGTTTCACTCATATAAGTGTTGTTTTTATACAGCTTTACATATTGTCACTAGAGCATCGCCTAGTACCAAGCGGGCATCCCTCAATGAGCCGCTGCTTAAAGAGAGAAAGAGTCCTAGACTCCTGCATCTCTTCGCTAAGCATCCGTTACAAGAAGTCTGAAACATGTTACTCTGCTCTAAATTGTGAATGAATGGTCGGTAACACATCCACAGGGACTTCAGCCAAAGACGTCTTCTACACATATATAAAGAACCCCTATACATAGGCACACAGTATTACTCCTCCCAACCTCTCAGCATGGAGATGGACATTAACACACAGCTAAGGGAGGAAGTCATTAACAAACTATCAGAGGAAGATAAAAGCATGTGGGGGTTCCACATCCTTCACCGCTCCCAGATCGTGGATGAGTATAAGAAGCTGTACACCGACTTGTGGGTCGCATCGCGCCTTAGATCTCAAGGCTCTCAGTCGTCTACCAGCAGATTCAATCTTCGCAGGATACTTGACGAACTCATGTCTTACGAAGATGCGTTAAGCGAGGTTTCATCTGACCATATAGAATCCAATGTGGATTGCTCTTCCCGGAAAATCTTCGAGCGGATGGAACTACCGCCGGACGTGCGTAGATTGATTACTGAAAAGAATCGCGCCACTCGCGCCTTCATTCGGTATCCGACTCCAGAGAACCGACGCACCCTCCGCGCTTGGCAAAGAGCAGTGAAACAGAACATTACACTAATGAGAATTGAGCGTCACATTCTTGGCATACTCTATCCCTCCAGTGAGAGCCCTTAATGCGGATATGACCCACCATCAAATGAATACTTAGAAGTATTTAAATGAATCACTTAAACGATTTCTAACGGTTTTCAAGTGACAACGGCTGCTGCAACCGAAACGTCGGGACGTAGTTTCAAAAAAAGGGCAAATGAGTTTAACTAATAAAGTTATTGTTTATAGCAGCGTCATCTATTGATTACTTTCTCAATCCATTGTATGTCTGTCTGTCAATTATTTATAGAAAAATAATTTACAATAAAATAAAATTGCGACTATAAAGAACTAAACTATCCTATGTCTCAAGCAGTACTAGAATGCTCACGGTGTGCCAATTTAATTTAAAATCGGTTTAGTAGTTTAGGAGTCCATAGCGGACAAACATCGTGACAGAAGATGTATATGTATAAAGATGTGTAATAATAATTATAAGCAAAGATAGTTTGTGGTTGTCCTTAAAAATAATAAAATTAATTCTTAAATTAGGTCTGAAGCATATCTAAACAATACAATGAGGTCAAAATATAAAATAGGCCTAGTATACATCAGTTACTTTATTAAATATTTTTTTATTACAACCAATATCGAACGCAGTAACATCTCATTGAGTTATCATACAATAGAAAATGTATGAAGACAAACATTACAGACACATCTAATGATTAATATGGAGTTTTACAAATTCACAGTACATTACGAAGTTCATTATCAATTATGATTATAGATAGCTAATAAAATTAAAACAAAAACCAGTCAATAAGGAATTCAATATATTAGGTACCTAATAGATATGTTTGATCGTATTATAAAGCAACAATGCACAATATAACAAAAATCATACAATAACAGTCTGATCACACGAATATTACAAATTAAATAATAAAAATGTATACGCAATCTAGTTATTTACAAGTTAGCTAACTAAATAACAAACTTATTATATAGATTATCCGTCTCTATTTCATTTAAATACTGCTTGGCCGAAATCAGCGCAACGTCTAACCACAATATACAATTTCCTATTAAAATTATCAGCTAAATAAATAACGTCAAAGCCTTGTTAAATATGGTGAGAATACGCCAAATGATTCCAATATACATAAGATCTCTGTGGAATGCAAGTTTATGTATACGACCCATGTTCTTAGCATATGTTTGATAGATAATGGAAATAAGAATCAGATTTTCGATAGATGGAGCTAGTAAACTAGTAACACCATAGACAATACAGTTTTGTAAAGGATGTTACACTGAAGATGAATATTGTTAATATGAATGTTTAAAATCTTATGGTGTAAAACACTATAAAATTAGAGATAGAATGAAGAATTCATAAGGAAGTATAGACGGTAGGCATGTTTTTTCACCTAACTGCCCTATATATGAAAATATATACAAAAATGCACTCATTATCAACATTTTCATTATCTGTCAATATAACGCTAAGCTCCCGGTAATAACTTTGCGAACACTATAGTACCGTTTTTGCTAAGTTTAAACCTTTAAAAATTCTATCAAAATTGAGTAAGTCGTAAAAATGTATAGCCTCACAAATGTATTAAAATGATTGAGCAGTATATACTACGCGTTGATTATTGCTTAGTGTGAAGCAAGCTTCATCTTTGGGTATTATAATCTTAATACTTTGTTCATAAATTACTAAAATTAGTCGATTACAGTATATAGTGTAAGAACCGACATCTACGACAAAGCACACATTTACGATTAGTTTGCCCGTATTTATTGTCATCGATAAAAAGTACAGACTATCCGCTACTCTAAGCTTCAGAACCAAAACTGTCATGTTCCATCGTCATTGATCAACACGTAGAATAGATCATAAGTGTAACTTTGCAATGAGCAAAAGCGTGGTTAGGGATAATAAAGTTCGAAAGGTAATTATCTCGTTGCTGTTAAGTAAACAGCATGATAGCTTATAAGAGTATAGTCTATTGTCTATCTCCTAAACGACTAAAAAAAAAATTTGTGTTTTGTTTCCTCCAACGCGATTGTGGGAAACAGACCACCTTCTTTTACCTAATCGTAGTAGTTTTTTATTGACTCGTAAAGAGACTATACTTGAGTCTGAATAACTGTTTAAACTGTCACTAAAGTAATTTTAAGTAAACTTGGATAGTCTTGTCTATTCGATGACTTGGTGGGCAGAGTTCGTCCTTTGTCGCGAGCAAAAGACAGTACATAATATGGGCAGTGCGCCGGCGAGAATGCCGGCGGGAGACGGCTGTTATGCGTACGACTCTTTTGTTGGGCTTAAGGGCTTCGATCCAGAGCTGATGCTGGAGCGGCTGGCGCGACCCTCGGAGCTGGTCGACCTGGAATTAAATATTTGATATAAAGCATATAATCTATACTAATATTACAAAGCTGAAGAATTTGATTGTTTGAACGCGCTTATCCCAGGTACTTCTGGTTTGGATTGAACATTTTTGTGTTAAAGCATTTATCGAGGAACATCACGCTGCGACCAATAGGATAGGATGACTATTCTACACAGACGAAGTCGCTGGCACATCTACTTTGAGAATTTTCATGGATTAGGTACTTTGAAAACCTATTATTATTAGCGTTTGATAATTATAAGACACATTTATTGTAACATTTCCATCTACAAAGTTTCGAAAAATTTAAATATAGTAATGAAACTCAAAGAGCTTGAAGTAGGTATTTGGTAAAATATTTTAATAATAACAAATATTTATTACTAATAATTAAATAATTATACAAATAATTATTTAAAAAAAATACAAAAATTTAACATACTTGTGCGAGTCATGGTGTAGCGATGACCGCGAGGGCGCGGCAGGACTCAGTTTGTGGTTCGCCAAAAACGTTCCGATCGACTCATCCGAGCTGTAGCTGTCGTTTTCACTGAAATGACAAAAATGAATATGTAACGCTACGGCTTGTTCTACGCGGATATATATGGCGTTGTTAATAAAGTAAATTGAGATAGTCAAAATAAGTGTGTTTGAAGTTCTTCACTATGACTCTTGTACTGTTTTACAATAGATGTTATATATAATTAATTTTAGCAACTTTTTCTCTGACGAAAAAAGATAATAACTATGTGAGATAATAACATATGATTCATATTTGTTGAAAATAAAAAATCTAACATTTAAATTGCGCGGTGTAACAATATTTTTGAAATAACGCTGCAATACGGCTAGTCACGTCATGATCATTTACAATCTTGCATTTATACCAAACATTTACATTTTAACAGTGATTGAAGTGTTTTAATGAAAACACGGTGGCGTGACGTGACCACGGCTGCTGCAAAGCATCCGAAACGTCGGGCCGAAGTTAAAAATCATTTTCAAATAAGTTTAACTATAATAATATATCGCGTTTTGAACCGTTAAAGTGTTTTATTTAAAAGTGAATTTATTTTTGCGGATTTTTTATTAATTTAATGATTACTTTTAACATAAGTGACAGCATTACCATTCCTAAACTTGTACTTATTAGTGATATATAGTTCTCCCATGGTCAAATAAAGTAGCGTTTTCTTTTAGATTCCAGTTAAAAATGTTTATTAAAATCTACCTGTCAGTATCCCTAGAGTCTCCCGGACTAGATAAGTCTCCAGCAATGGCTTCCTGTAGTGCGGTGGCACGTCGAGCAGCAAGCCGCGCTTCGTCCTTTGCGGCGGCCGCTTCTGCTGCAGCAGTTTGTGCTGCTGATTCAGCAGCTAACTTCAGTCGCGTCGTTTCGCTTAGTTTCGCGTTCAATGATGTGTTCTCTTCCTTAAGTTCGCTGCAATAAAATCAACAATTGCTCTTAAAATGAGAGTTTATGAATGGACGTTAAGATATTATGTAATAACACATAGCAAAACATAAAAATCGCTTTTTAGCGATAAGGCCGCCTTTTCTCGCTACTTTTTGTTAATTTTTTAATTAAGTTCATTTTGTAACATTGTGGTGAAAATAAAGTATTTTTTGTTTTTTTATATTTTGTACATGTCCTATATATATTAAAAACTGCTTGAAAAGGGTTATTATGACGTTAATCAATATTTAAATGATAAAAATGCTTGGGGTGTGGAGAAACCCGATCTTACAAGGAAAAATATGTAGTGCACTACAAGTAAATCAAGAATGTAAAATGAAACTTGGCGATTAAAGGAGTGACAGCGAGTTTATTGCCAGTTCTTCTCGATCGTTCTACGCCCTTGATTTGAGAACTGGTAGTAAATGTAAAGTTAGATTCTTTAATTATTTTGTGACGTTCATAAGTGTACATTGTTACCTACATTAATAAATTATTTTTGACTTTGACTTTATTATTCTGACTTATCAGTTAAACCGAAGCTTCGGCTAAAAAACCAGACTAAAGCCGTAGATATGCCGAATGAGTTAAGAAAATATTGTATTTTCATTTGTTTTATTTTTAGATATATTATTAAAATACAAACCGTATCTGACGTGTCAATTTGCGGACTTCTTCGGCCGCCTGCTGGTCTTTGGCTCTGGCAGCCGCCAATTCCGAAGCCAGCTGCTCATGGGCGTCTCGCAGACGAGCGACCTGGCTCTCGAGACGTGCTCGCGATGTGGCTTCTAATTCCAAGCTAGACTCCAACTCCTGAAGATCAAAATAAATTTTTACTTTACATCGATTGACATTTTTGATTGATTTTTTAAATTATTTGTTTAATATTAACTTACATTACGTTTACCAAGTGTACAGTGACAATTTCTCCTAAATTAGCAAAGAAATAAGAAGAAATACAAAACTTCGCATCATAAAATAAATGATTTTTTAACAATATTAAGTATAAACTTTAGTAACTGTTGGAGGGAAGATAACTATTTTTAAAATTGAGTTATGATATTTTAAACATTACGCTACGCAAAAGCATACTTTGCGCAAACAATTATGCAAGGAGTACGAAATATTAATTATAAATTAATATTTCGTACACTTCAATCTTATGATATTATACATATGCATAGAAAATTCTCTCTTACCTTATTCCTCAGTTCAAGCCTTCGTTCAGTCTCATGGTGTCCTTGGGTGTGGCCAGCTTCAGCCGCGGCCAAGCGGGTCGCCAGCTCGTTAGCGCGTTCCTTCGCTGCTCGGGCTTCTTCACTGGCTGCCTCAGCCTTCGCCTCCGCTTCACGGGCTTCAGCTTGTGCACTGCAGAGGGCGCTAGTACTGGCACGGTATTTCTTCAGGAGCTGGAAATGAATTGTAAACATAAAATAACGTTAAGTTTAAATTGAAGTGATATAAGGCCGAATATCCAAAGCCAAAAAAGCCGACAGCGCATTTTGGTTAGATGTGATACGGCTGGGGAATTTATTCAACCAAGTGAACCCCGCGATTGTCTGGCCTCCTCTATATATAAAAAGCTATGTATTATTTAAATAAAACACTTTAACAGTTTTAAACTCGAAATATATTAGTTAAACTTATTTAAAATTATTTTAACTACGGCCCAACGTTTCGTTTAGTTGAAACAAATTATTTGAACCAATCGAAACGTCGGAAAATTTGTATGTATCGCGTTTCAAACCGTTAAAGTGTTTTATGTAAATGTATACTCTAGTAAGCTTCAGACAATATTTACTATTTCCAGCTAATCAAATATTACCTCAGCAGCTTCTTCTTCGGCGTCATCAAGCTGCGCTCTGGCGGCGGCTGCGTCTCTGCTGGCGGAAAGTGCTCTTTCAGCCGCTTCGTTCCTGGCTCGATTCGCTTCCTCCAGCGCTGAAGCGGCTTCAGATGCTTCCGCTTCAGCCGTCGATCGAGCTTTGTTAGCTGCGCGAACTGCTAACTCGAGATCTTCCACCTGCGAATTGTCATTTAAGTGAATAAATAGGTAACAACCATGAATTCTTGGTATTTTCGTTGTAATGACGAAATAATGGAGCAAATAGATCTTCATCTACACAGGAGAAAAATTCTACAAAAAAGTGATCAGACAATTTTCAGCAATGATAAATAGTCTGTTCTCTAGTTGTACCAGTAAAAATGCACGAACCTGATTTTTGAGTTGTCTTATCTGTGCTTTTCCACCGCCTTCTTTTTCTTTCTGATCCAACATCGTTTGCGCATCGCGCAAAAGTGCTCGGTAACGCTTAAGATCTCTGAAAAATATATTGTCATGATGATTATATTGTAATTGTTCGGAAATTATTGTATACATAATACACAGGACCAACCCGAGAAAATAATAATATTACTTATGTGACATACCTCTTGAGTCTATGCACGAGTTGGATTTGTTCTTGCGCTTCAGCCCTAGCGGTTTCTTCGAGGGAAGCGAGTCTTCGTTCCAGTTCATGTCTTTCACGTAAGAGCAGACTGCGTTCGGAGTGTTCACTCTCCAGTTGGCTTTCGAGTACTGTAATAAAACAGAATATTTATAATATAGATAAAATCCAAAACTATAAAATAAAGATAGATCATTTCAGTCATCATGTTAAGATTTTAGCAAGCAACTACATGTACATTTGCCTTCTTTTACATGTATAAAAGTAAAATTATTAATAAGCATTTTTTTAACGTAGTCCTTTAAGCCGGAGAGCGATAGAGTACTAAAAGATAACATACTCTTAAGCTTCTTGGCAGCATTGGCTCTGGTTTCTTCCATTTCATCATCCCGTGCAGCTGCTTCTAAACGCGCTTCCTTGCGTTGTTGTTCCAACAGCATTTCCACACGGAGCTTGGAACTTTCCAATAACTGAAATTTTAATAAAATTCAATTTCAATGATCTAAAGTATCTCTACGTGTCGAAAAATATACAAAGTAAGTAAATAAAATATATGCTTGGTAACATTCTAAACTCTGAATACACACATAATTTGAAAGATGTGATGCATAATTTCTTATGCCTAAATTAAAGAATTTGCCCAGAAAAAATTAATACAGCTTTTGTTAGTTATTATTAGTTAAAAATCGATCATAGATTGAATAAAAATTTCGACACGGCCAGGACTGGAACAGGCATCCACAGTGTTCCGTGCTGTTTGCTCTAACCTATTGAGCTACCATGGCCATCGTCGAATCTATTTTTTTTTTTCATTTTTTGAATCTATAATTGATTATTAATGTATATAGTGCCATCATGCCAAATTATTGTAGTGTCTTTAGTAGTAGAATCACCCTGTACCTGTATCTGTCCAGCCAACTCGTCCAACTCTTCTTCCTGGTCGCGCACGCGTCGCTCCAGCTCGCTCTTGGCTCGACGCAGCGCCGTCAACTCGTCTCCCCCACCTCCCCGCTCCTCTAATTCCCGCGAGGCAGCGGCCAATCGCTCTTCCTTCAACTCGATTTCCAGCCGAGCTTCCTAAAATAATCAAACACATATTGCATTTTTATTAAGAGTTTTCAAATATTTCAAATTGTGCTATAGCTTTTTGAGATCCTCTAGGGTCGTTGTCTACTCTTTAAGGGATGAAAAATGTTAAACGCACTTACCATAATAAGATAATACGCAAAAATCTGAATTTATATTGTCATATTTGTGTACGATAGCGCACTTGAAGAATATTGTATATATGACAGTTTTTTTCTGTGCAATTGTTTCCTTGCAAAGCAGCAAAATTAGACAACGCAATTATTTACGTTTTAAGAGCGCAACCCGCCACTCTTTTACAACTTTTAAACGCAACTTCACGCGAACGAAGTCGTGGGCCCAGCTAGTATATTATAAACCTCTTGTTTTAACGAATTAATATTTACTTGTCAACATGTAACATAAAATTCTACTTACAGAGAGGCTCTGTTCGAGCGCGTACTTCTCGGCGTGCGCCTGATCCCGTTCGCGGGAGAGGCGGTCTTTGGCGGAGCGTTCTCGCTTCAACTCTTCTTGCGCGCTCTGCAGCTCCGTGTCGAACTTGCGTTGACGCTTCTCGAGCAGGTTGTTGCGGCATGTCTGTTAACAAGTAAATAGACGTTACCTAACTGTATGAAATATCATTAGCAAAGTGTACAATCAATAGGTCATTTGTTCTTTTCTCATTGGGTGTAATATGTTTCTAGACTAAGTTCATGATTTTATGAAGCATGTGTAGAAAACATGAAATTAGACTAGAAAATCTAGATATTAAAAGAGTGGTAGGATTATCGAAATTATGTTCACCGGGTTACGAACTATCGTCCACAGATAAATCGGCTAAAATCGAATCGAATCCGTAAGATTGAATTGCATTTCGGTTTGAGTCTGTGGATTTTTAAATAATCAAAGCCAAAACAGGTCGACGGTGCACCTTGTTTAAAGGTTATATAGATGGAAGATTTCACCTTCCATCAAGTGAAAAGTGCTTGTCTGTTCTCCTCTATAATAAAAAAGAGGTTTAAAATTAAAAATGTTTTATTATACAAAACCGCCAGTTTAAACATCGATCGATTTCTATCGATAAATTTTATATAGACGAAGTCTGAAATTAACTCAAACTAATTTTTTTTAATTTTTTGTTTTTTTAGGGGGAAATAAAAAAGGGGAGGATCTACCCCAAAAAAAAAAAAAAAAAGGGTTTTAGAGTTGACTAAACTTTTGGGATCTTACTTAAAAATGTTAAGAAATAAAAAACTACCTGTTCATCAAGCAATGAACGCAGGTCAGCCATGTCGTTGGTGAGTTTTTGCAATTTGCGTTTCCATTGCGCAGCTACGGCCCTTTGCTCCTCTACTTCTTCGTAAGCATCTTGCACCTGAAGGGATAAATACTTAGGTTTGTAAAAATGTGGATATTATGTAGTCAGTTTAAAGAGAGAGGCGGAATAGAGATACATTTTAAATTAATCTTATCTGTCTGTATGTACGTGCTAGTCACCGAATGTACGAAACATACTATTTTGCTGTTTTCACCAATGAATAAAGTTTAAAAATTAAGGTAATTTAAAGTTTTAAACATTAACATCCGTAAATAAATAATTTTTTGGTTTTTAAATACTATTCCAATATGTAGATTATGTACGTCATCTACAAAACGTTTAGTTATTTTTTTTACATCGAGTAAATTATCTTAATTTTATAGTTGCACTCTAAAATATATATATATATATAGTTTGTTAATGTACAGCATTTAACGTAAATATTTCAAGCATTTCCATACGAAATCTCGAATGGCTAAAGCGAACATAAATTACAATATACAGCGGCAGATTTATATTTCAAACGTTACTCAATACAGTAGAACAGTTTATAAACTAGCCGATAGTTAATTTGCCCGTACGATCGTACGAGCTGGACATGCGCCAAAACGTCGATGGGCAATTTATTTCTATAAACTACAATTTGTGTCCTTTCAAATAAAAAGAGCACTGACCTCTTCGTTTTCACCGTCCATTATGCACGAATTTAATTCAAATATCGTGAATTGCGCTGCGTACGCGACGCAAGTATAAAGGCGGTATCAGCATCAGCGAACGATCAAGGATGGATAGATAAGTTTCGTTATCGAGATAAAAAATATTCCTATCTTGACCCGAATTCATTTGTTTTTGAGAATTACGTCTATGTCATGCGTAACGTCGACGAAGTGAGTGTTGTTACGTACATTGTATTCTTACACGTGTAAAGGCTTGATAGGATATAATTTGGATATTAGTCTTAGGAATTTAAAGAATGGTAACAATCGTGCACTAGCAAACACAGTTAAACAAAAGTTACACGAAGTATTGGTTTAGTTTCTCCAACCAATACCCTCGTGTAGTAAGCAAATCGCAGTGATATCTCATTGCAATCTTAAGGCATCAATAAATTAAAAAGCTGTTTAGCGCTTTCCACAGCAATTTTTCAAGAAATAAAAAACACGTTTAAAATAGTAAAGTTACAAAAATTGTGTTAAAAATCTAGGTAGATACGATAGGATATCTTTTCTTTTACGCATAGCAAGGAGAAATAAAACCAACTCAATATAGGTCATTGAAAATTAAAAAAGCATGTCGAGTAATTTCGACGTGTCAAAATAAACAGCGGATACAGAATAATTCCTTGGACTAATTATGTCGTGAATCATCGTAGAAAACAAATTTTGTCTTATAAAATGGTTCATATGTTTTTTGGAACGGAAATTCGTTGCTTAGTAAGTTTTTCCACCAAAAAATGTGTCATTATCGATGGTTGCCTAAGATGTTAAAAAAAATTACTTCTTTTTTTAAAGTTTATAGGACTAATAAGTAAGTAACGTAAACCGCTAGGCCACAAGTAAATAAATTTTGAAAACCTTAATATTTTCAAATGATATTGCATACATGATGGCACTATAAGAAATAGAAATAGATTATAACCGCTCGCTACCGAGTCATCAATTGATTAGAGTAACAGCACGGAGATGCTGTGGACGCCGGTTCGAGTCCCTGTATTTTATTTTTCAATCTAAAATCGATTTTTAATTGACATAGCAGTTTATCAATCTCTATTACCTTTTTCTCCAGCTGCTTCTTAACCGTGACGAGCTGTTCAAGGTCATCTTCATGCTGCCGCCTGAGTTGCGCGCGCACAAGTTGCAGCTCGCGATGGGCTCTTTCGTATCGCCGCTTGTACTTCTCGCCGTTAGCGCCGATTTCAGCCTCCGAACCTTCTGAATCCGAGGGCTCTGCTCCGCCATTCTCCGCTGATCTCCAGTGCAGGAGCTCGAGCTCCAGACGTTCTGAAGCCTGAGAGACAAATCATGTATCAACAATGAATATCGGAAAGGAAACGCAGAAGAAGATGAAATAGTGCAATTAAATTTATTAATTAACATGTAACTAAAAATTTGTTATAAAAATATAAAAGTATTTTATAATTAAATAAGATTTTTAATCTCAGTAACTGGTTTAAATGAAATAATGATCTTCTTTTTGTGTTGATCGAGGAAGGCAATTAGGTTGAACAACATGACGATCCGACCAATAAGAGGCAAGAAATAGTAGGAAATGTGGAAAAAACAGGGGGAAAATATTCATCTTTTAGGAATTCCGTTCCGTGCGCTGCAAAACTATTCAAGATACTCTAAAAAATATATAATAAATAATGATTTCTCTTTTATTTGGTCTAAAATAATGTCCACAACATTATATGTTTATCTTTTAAGATTACCTACGAAATACGGGACGCGGACGACATCGTAGGTAACAGCTAAAATGTATATAAGACTATACTACGCAGACCGGGTCGCTGGCACAGTTAGTTTATCGTAAATAGATATTGAAAGTCAAAAGTTCTTTGGTTATTTGCTGCTCTTATTGTATATAGCTAAAGATATTGTAAACATGAAAAGGACAGACCTGCTGCAGCCGCTGGTTGTTCGCCAGCAGTTCTCTGTTGTCCCTTTCGATGCGCAAGCGCTCGGCGGCTTCTGCGTCGGCGCGTTCTGACGCGAGAGCAGCCGCCGACCTCTCCTCGCCCAAATCGCCACTCACCTCCGACAGCTAAGACAATAATAATAGAACATCATCATACAATTTGTTTTCAACAGTCCTACTTGTGGGACTTAGGCCACCTGCAGGAATACTAGGTGTGTAACATATAAGCGTTACGGCGCTTAATTATTGTCTTATAAATACAGAAATGATAGCACACAATTACTATACAAATCTG